AAAATTATATCTATTTATATATTTCAATTTATAAAATTCTATCTATTTAAATACTTCAATTTGTATAAATATTATTCCATTAAATACTTTAACATATAAAATTACACTTATTCAATTAAACACTTAGTGAATATTGAAAAATATGAAAATAAAATTTTAAAAATTATACTGACTACTCATTAAATTAAATTACTATTTTTAATATAAAAGTAGAAAATTTTAAAAATTAATGTTTCTATAAAAAAAGTATGCATATCAATAAAATTTTTAATTTTAAAGACAATATGTCTCCAACAAAATTAAAAGTGGGATAAAATTTTTCATAAAAAAAAATATGAAAATGAATTTATATATTTGATGATCAAATAATGGAATATGCATTTTATACATCATTGACATTATTAATGCATAGTGGATGATAAGTAATTTAGATATAGCAGAATTTTTAGCCACTTGTAAAGGTGTATTTGGTAGCATGGTGCATAAAAGTTGAGGCACTAATACACAACTTGGTGAAATTTTTGCTTTCTAAAAGCTTTTCGCATGGTTTCTCTTTGGTCCCCTACAATTTTTCCAACTTAGTCTCACTCTCACCTTATTATCAAAACATACCCTTCTCGACATTATAGCTTCAATTCAAATATGAAATAATAATTTCATAGCACATCAAGACATAATTTACTTGAAAATAGATTCAGCTTTGAATTCTTATTTTTCAATACTCAAAAAATTTCGAGAGTGTATTAATTACAGTACCGGTACTAACTTTTAATTTTGGAGAAAAATAAAATTAAAATCAAACAGTTTTTAGGTTGGAATCGCGGGATCTACTTTGGAATTAAAATTAAACATTTTTTTCAATTTTTTTTAATTTTTTAGCATAAATAAATATTAATAAAAAGTATATGATAAGTAGGAGTATTGAAAAAGCCAAACGGGTTTAATAAAAATTATTTTAAAATATATTTTGAAAAATATAACAAAATGAAAAGTAAAATGTGAGCTTCAATAATAGTCTTTAATTTCATAATTCTCTTCCTTTTTTCACGTTTTAAAAATAGAATCACATATTTCAATACCAAAAAAATGAGGAATCGTAATATGATTTTGCTTATAGTCATAGAGCGGACCCGCACGCATAAACTCTTTGGCTTGACTGACAATGTTTTGATTAGTAGGAGCTGAACCGCTGAGCAACGTAATTCGTAATAAACCGACAAAAAAAAAAAAAAAAAAAAAAAAAAAAAATCTCTTTTAGGCTTGTACTGACAATTTGTTTTGAATTAGTAGGAAGCTGAACCGGCTGAGCAACGTAATTTCGTAATAAACCGACAAAAAAAAAAAAAAAAAAAAAAAAAACACGAAAACTTGAGACACTCCCTAATAAACCCATATTTTCCAAGTCAACAAAGATTTTGGTTAGATACGCGAAAAAAAAAAAAAAAAAAAAAAAAAAAACACAAAACTTGAGACACTCCCTAATAAACCACATATTTATCCAAATCAACAAGATTTTGGTTAGATACCGAATTCCTGTAAGAGCACGTATACCAATTTTATTTCAAAAAGCGCTTTGTTGTGAGGGTAAAAAATTTTCACGTTTTACAAATTGAACAGAAAAATCTCACAAAACCCGTCTTTATGTTTCAATATCAGTTCCTAAGTAGCCAAACATCTTGCGAAAAGAGAAATATTTTGACCATTTCCAACAAATCAAACGATCCTTTTAAGCACCTATGGAAGAACAATAGAAATACCTCCAAATATAAGATAATAGAGAAGCCTGCACCTAGGAATTATCTTGAGACCTAATTATATTTAACTCGTAAAACTTGAAATCTTCTCCTGTAAGTACACTGGGTCATATTTGACTCGGTGAGATCATAATCATTGAAAAGAGATTTGAACTTCTCGGGATTAAATCAATTATTGCTAAAATGTTAGAACTAATTAATTAGATAATTGATTTTTCTGCTCTTATACGTCTTTTTTATATTAGTGTTTTATTCAAAATGTGAGATTCAAACTATCTCCGGTTATTTTGAAACACGTTACAAAAAGCATCATATTTAACACTGCAACTTATATGCTTGTAACATTGGCCATCATCTCATAAAAGAATCACCTCAAGCCCAGGAATCCTTAACAAAGAAAGAGAACTACAAGCTGTCCAAAAACGAAAAATCCTAAAATGTGGAATTCTTAATTTTTACAATTCAAAACTCACTATTTCAAACCCTAAAAAATTCAAATCAAACTCAAGAATCCAAATAACAGAAACTTTAAGTAATTTCCTTCTATTTTTTCGTTATTTTCCCATTTTTGGTCTATTATTATTATTATTACTCTCAAATATTTTTCTATCCAATAATTCCATCAACATTTGATAAATGAACAAACTGATAATGCATTTTCCACCTAATTTGACTTAACGACAATACTAACTTGGCAGACATGTGTTGATTTTGCAATTAATTTGTTGAAATCAACCTCCAAGTATCATTCAATACTTCGAACAAATTGTGTTATTTGAAACCTACTCCACATATTTTATATTGCATTCAAAAGTATACCGAAAGAAACTATAATAATCTGAAAAAATCCTGCTATTTTAATAAAAATTTAAAAAACATAGTTCAACCCTTTTTACAGCTATAACTGAATCAAACCGCCTGTAAATTCTTCAAAGTTCGTTGTACCAAAACATTTGTTTGAGCTTGTTCAATTATTCTTACAACCTGAACTTAAACCTATTAATTGAACTCGTTTAACAAACAAGCCGAGTTCAAACTTAGTAGAACTCGCACCCATGCACACGCGCGTGTATATCATCTTGTGAAAAGTGATAGAACAACAAACTAACTATCATTAATTGAAGGTTTAAAATTGAACTTAGATGATTAATTAATTAATTAGTTTGTTGCTTAAAAAGGATAAAACTTGATTAGAAACTTGTTGAGCTTTCTCCTGCTGGATAAAATGGTACCCATCAATCACAACTACTACAACGTTAGGTGCAAAATTCTTCAACATTTCTCCATTAATGTCCCAAATGATAAAAAACCCTACATCCTTGTCACCAACTGTCAATTTTTTAGGCACACTAATTTTTTCTCCCTACAATGGTCCAGAAGCTCTCAATTCCTACCAAATTTTATGACTATAAGTACTCTCACAATTCTAGTAATCTGATAACATGAATATTTTATTTTCATTGAAAATTATTAATTAATATGAAGAAATACGGATTATTTGAGCCCTCGAAGTATCAGATTGACCACAATTACCAAAAATAATGATACAGTAGTTAGCATTATGGTTTTCTACCGAAGAATATTGGAAGCCATGTGCATATTTAATTATTTAGTAAGTAGTAAACAAGTGCCTTGAGCTCAAATCTACTCATCGAACTTATTTAATAAATAAGCCGAGTTCAAAACCTCTTGACTACTTATTGAATTTCTTTAATAAACGAGTTGAGCTCAGCTCGAGTTTAAAAACTCAGTTTTTCTATTATATATACCACACATTGATGACAACTACCCAATATCTCAAGAATCTCCTTGTACAAAGTGATACAAGAACAAACTAACTAGCACTAACGAGCACTAACTGAAGGTTCAGAATTGAACGTCGAAGATTAATTGATTAATTAGTTTGCTGCTAAAAAAGGATAAACTTTCATTAGAAACTTGTTGAGCTTTCTCCTGCTGGATAAAGTGGTGCCCATCAATCACAACTACCTGGGGTTCCTCTTCAGTAATCCAAGTAGGAAAAGAAGATGGGCTCTCAAGCAAATCCTGGAGGTGCTGCTAGAAGATCTGGAGCGTTGATTAATAGGACTTTCTCCAATATCGTAATTGTAGTGAGTCATACTTGTAGAATGATTTTTCTGCTCTCCCATGTTCCTGCAGTACAATATTTAATAAATACTCCTTAATTATTCTTCAGAGTATCAGAATAGATGGGCTATCAAGAAGAAAACCCTGCAATTAACCTTATCAGAAAATTGCTACTTCAAAAATATTTACCAAGACAAATTTCGGAAATATTCTTCAACTCAACCCTGCAAAGTATTTTCAATTACAAAAACCAATGTACAGTGGTTGGTATTATGGTTTTTTACCTGAAACTGAAGAATATAGAAGCCTTGTCCATATTTAGTGAAGTAGTAAGAAGGTTTGAAGTGTGAAGAACGTTGGCGGTAAGAGACACCTAAGTTAATGAGTGCCTTAACTCTGTCAGGCCTTAAGAGGCAGAGATGCCATGCAATTTCTGCACCCCACTCTCGACCTACCACAAATGCCTGCACACACAGGACCACATTACTTATTAGCAACCTTTGCTATAATATGAAGCAGAGCAGAGACATGATACATTTTTTTATGATGTGTCTTAGATAGTAAATTCTGTTATTTAAAAAAAAAAAAAAAAGTAAAATATGATAAAGCCTAAAGGTCAATTTGAACTTTCAATCAAAAGATCAATTGGATCTATTTTTTGGCTAGTCAATACATGTGAGAGATAGATAATAAGAAATACCACATTTAGTTATATAATACGCTTGAGAAACAAGTAAAAAGGTTGAGCGGGGTACCAATTTTCATTCAGTGATCTTTATTTAATCATTTGTTGTAGTCAAAAAATGTGTCTTTTAGTTAAAATTTACTGTTTTTTCTTTAAGGGATAGTTAAAATTTATTGTTAAAATCGATTAAACACTCAATTTCAGGTAAATTCTATAAATTCAATATACAGATTAAGCATTATTCTTTTTCCGAAAAAAGAAAGAACAAACTTGGCTTTCGGCCCATGTCATAATATTTCGGTGATGGACCGATGTTGTACTCTTTTAGGAAATCAAGATTTTCGGTCCAGAGAAGCCATATTAAGGCCCATTTCCATAAAAAATTCCCCGTATCCCGGCCTGAACCGGACCAAATTCCAATCACAGACATATATAACCTCTCAGTTTTTCACGGGCAATTGAGGTTTTAGAGATTTTAGGTTCCATTCAGTAGCTTGCTTTCGCCCCAAATGGGAAAGAAGAAGAAGAACACGAAGGAAACTGGTCATGAAGGATCCGACACCAAACACAGTCCTAATACTGTGTTCGTCTCTAACTTGCCTCGCTCCTTCACTAACTCTCAGGTACTTTTCTCTTGTCCTCTGTTTGTTTCCCGAGAAAACCAAATTCCGTTGAAAATACTCAAGTTTCATTGCACACGCTGTACATTTCTCAAATTGGAATTTCAGGTTTAACCTAACTGTATAAAGTTGCTGGTCAATGGATTGGTTACTTTTTTATGCGACTTTTCCTTTATTTTAGCTTGAAGAGGTGTTTAGCGATGTTGGACCAATCAGGCGATGCTTTATAGTTGCACAGAAAGGTAAATGAAGCTGCTTATGAGTGAAAATTTGTTGAGTTTGTGATTCTTTTTCATAAGTTTATAGTTATTTAGAAGTCTGCCTATTGTCGAGAATAATTAATCTGAGCATTATAATGTAGTTATAGTGATTCTTTATGATTTTTCTTTGCAGGGTCAACTGAACACCGTGGCTTTGGCTTTGTTCAATTGTAAGTTGTTTGCTGGATTTTATTCAATGGTTATTTTGTTTTATCAGTGGCTCATTTTCTATTGCCCTCGCAATCTTTCTCTCTACATGTCGAAATGTCTAATTTATTTGTTCACATTAAAATAGTCTTAATTAATCTTTTTGTTGTTTATTTGCTTTTATATCCAGTGCTATTAAAGAAGATGCTAACCGTGCAATTGAGCTGAAAAATGGTTCATCTGTTGATGGTCAAAAAGTTGCTGTTAAACATGCTATAAGTCGTGCTCCCCTAGAGCAGCGACGGGCAAAGGCTGCTCAAGGTTGATTGAGTTCATATTTATTTTGGTTTTGCTGAGTTTCTTTCTCCCTCTTTCTTCCTTTCATTCTTTCTTTTTTATTTTATTTTATTTTATTTAAATATACTTAGACAATTGGGATGCTTCGCGAACTTGGTCGCCTTTTTTTTTTTTATCCTTAGACAATGTCATATCAATACATTTATGATCTCTTATTTATTTCATTTTCCTTTCCTAATTAGTGGTTGACTCAGATGGTGCAATTAAGTCCCAAAGTGATGATATTTCTAAAGTAGACACTGATGTGTCAAACTCAGAAAAATCAGGTTAACAGCTACTACTATTTTTGTCAATTGCGTTCAGTTCTCATATTTGAGGTTTGTATCTGAATTTTATAATTTTTGTAAAATTAAAATTCAGGGGAGCATCTGAAACCAAGAAAGGCAGCGAAACTTTCCATTGAACTAGCTGATAAAGAGAATTGTTCTGAAAAGCAAAGGTATTCAATTTTCTCAGTGACTTTATGGACTTTTTTCTGTCTGTTAGATGGGTCAGACTTGGCTGGCAGCAAAGATTATGACTTGAAATAAAACAAAAAACCATTGGCTTGTTACTTATTCTTAATGCTTACTTCTGTTGTATCTCATCTTGAAATCCTCATGAATATTTATATCCATATCTCATTTGCAATGTTTGGCATATGAATTTATTTTTGCATTACTTGATATTGAAGGTTTGAATTATTCTTGATTAGACTCATACAATAGAGCATTTGTATAAGGAAACCAACCATGGTCTTAAAGAACCATTTCATATTGTATTTCCCATTCCATAACGAGATTTTTTGCCCCTATCCTATATGTTATTTAATGTTTCTCTATGGGTGATTCATCAATCCCTTGGAAACAGCAGGCTAAACATGAGAGATGTCAATTTATTTTATAAAATGTTCCTTTAGGTTATTATTCGCTTAATACCTTGTATATTTTATTAACTTCTTTTTCTCAACTTACTTTTTAGTAAACTATTCTTTGTTGATTTGAGTGATTTTCCTAACTGCATTAAAATATTCACGGCAGCAGCGGCTGATTCGGATTTATTCAATTCGATTCAGGTTGATTCCAATACATGTTTCATTTGCCATTAGTGTTCTGAATCCATATTTCCACTAATTGAAACGTTTACTGCAACAGTAGAGCTCCTCAAAATATCCTCTCTTTTTGAGTGCTCTGGCTTGTTCTCCTCCAGCAATCCTAGAGACATGATTGTGAGAAGCAGTTTGAGTTTGAGGGTTTAATGCTTTTGCTTTAGGAATTCATATCGCATGGCATGATTTCAATTCTAAGAATATCTGTAGGGTCAGATTAATTGGAACTTAAACCTTGGTGTAATGGTGAATAGATTTAGCTAGATTGTTGGTTCTTGATTTTCAATATGACTTCGTAGCAATCATTTTGAATAGACAAAATGGATCTTGAACATGCTGTATGGTTTTCTCTTGAATAACACCATACGCTTTTTTCTTTGAACAAGTTCTATTTGCATGATGATATCTTTTATTTCATTCCGCAAAAGACAGCACATGGTTTATTTACACTTCCTTTTCTGTTTTTGGATGACATGAAGGGTTGCTAGGACTGTAATATTTGGTGGTCTTCTTAATGATGCTATGGCTGAAGAGGTTCATCGTCGTGCCAAAGAAGCTGGGAATGTGTGCTCTGTAACTTATCCTCTTCCTGAGAAAGAGCTTGCCCAACATGGTAAGGGCATTTTTTGGGGCTAAGCTATTTTTTTTTTTTTTATCATAATGATTATTCCCAATTTAAATAGCAGTCGCCAAGAATGGCTTAATTAAGGTGGCAACATATTGTAGATTACAGTTGCAGGCCTTTAACTTGACTGTTTGGTGCTTGCACCTTCCATGTTTATAATGCTTTCGTAGTAGGCTAGCGATCCAATATTGGTTGTACTATCATGTTAGTTTCAGATATTGTTTACAAAGATTTGATGTCTAGTCTGCAATTCAATCAGATTATAGTTTTTTCCACATTTTTTGCAGGATCTCATAATATTATCAATCTCAACTTCCATTTTAAGCTAAATATCAAGGTTTATGATCTTCATATGGCTTTTTGAATCAACAAGGAGAAGATTGTCTTTCTTGTTTTTTTAAAATTGACCAAAATAAAGTTATTTTCTTGCACATTCTCAAGGATTGAGTAATTATTCTTGTGGTCTTATTGCTTGTTGGGATAATTTATAATGTCAACAATGTGTTAGTGGTCTACAAATCTAGTACACTCTTCTTCACTTATGTCTGGCATTTTATTGTGCGGTCCTGCAGTCCAAGTGTTTATATTGCTTTTTCTATGCTGCTGCTTATTAATGTGCTAGAGATTTTAATAAGTTTTAGCACATATCTAATTTGGATTTAAATACTTATGATTCTAACATACACAAATTGATGTATTGTGTATCAGTAAAGTGTTCAATTTGATGGCTGATGCTTTTCATATTTGAATGCTACAAAAATAGTAATACACTTATTTGAGGATTTAGTTTGTCCTGTTTTATGGTGTGTAGATTTGCGCACTCTTGCAGTTTGTTCAGTTCTGACGGTAGAATGCACAAATGCAAAAATTTTCCAGGTCTTGCTCAAGATGGATGCAGATTGAGTGCGTCTGCCGTACTTTATGCAAGTGTCAAAGAAGCAAGGTTTTCTGTGGCAATGTTACACCAAAAGGAAATAAATGGGGGAACTGTTTGGGCACGCCAGCTAGGTGGGGAGGTAAATGAGGATTAGTAATTGTACCATCACAATAATGTTGTAATGGAAACTTAATTGGTTCATACTTTACTAAGATTAGGTTTGAGATTTCCATTTGAACTCAACAAAGTCATGGTTCCTCCACAAAGGAGTTGGCTTTATGGATTTTTCCTCAGAAAATTCACTTTTTACTATAGTATTAGGTAATCGTAAAATCAATCAAGGATGTTGTTAAATCTTCAAGGAAAAAGGATGATAAGTACCAGAAAGAGGGTATATTGGTCACATTAATCTGAATAATACTATTTTTTTATGGGCCAGGGTTCCAAGATTCAGAAATGGAAGCTTATTGTGAGAAATCTTCCTTTCAAGGTTTATTTTACGCTTCATATTTTGTCAATCCCACCACTGTTTCCTTTTTTGGTGCTTGATTTATAAACCAGCTTACTGTACGTCAATGCAGGCTAAAGCAAGTGAAATAAAAGATGTGTTTTCATCAGCAGGATTTGTCTGGGATGTATTCATCCCACATAATTCTGAAACAGGGTATAGGGACATCTTACGCAATACCTGTTCGTAACGAAGTACTATTTATTTTTAATTTATCTCACTTTTGAATTTTTCTGTTTGCAGGTTATCCAAGGGGTTTGCATTTGTTAAATTCACATGCAAACAGCATGCAGAAAATGTATGGCTTGCTACTGCTGTTTTACTTTTACAGTACAGTTTGAATTCTGTAGAATTTCCTATTTTCTAAATTTTGTTTTCCCTACAGGCCATTCAAAAGTTCAATGCACAAATGTATGGCAAAAGACCCATGGCTGTTGATTGGGCTGTTCCAAAGAAAATTTATAGTAGTGGAGCCAATTTGTCTGTTGCTTCAGAAGATGGTAATTTTTGCTGTTAGCTGAATTCCATTCTCTTCTAGTATGGTTATTGAAAGTTCCATGTCTGTTGTTCGCTTGACTGAATGGATGCACCTTCATTTTTTAATAGATCCATGATTGTCAAATGAAAAGCAATGTGATTTCTTAATAAGATGGTAAGTGTGTTGAAACATAACTAGAAATAGCTCCAGCAGTACGTTGGTGCTTCCAATGTGACTACTAGAAGTTGGGAATTTGACCTAAATTAATTTAGGTGGCATACTGTAGTTTGTTGTGCTGCATGGATGAGAAATCACCTGCTAGTGTTTGCATTACTTTAGTGTTATAAGCATGGATGCTGTTTTCACTAGATTATCTACTGTTAAAACTTGCAAACAACACTCAGAAGGATACTGTCAATGCAAGACAAACAATGCAAATATTGCACTGATGCTGGCAGTGATCAGTTAATAGGTGAACCACTCACGAATCTTGTTCCTTTTTATCCAATGTTGGAATTTGTCTAATGGGGGAACTTAGGAGGGAATCTTTAGCTTGTTAAGTCAGTCATGCTCTTGCTAATGTGTGTATAAAAGAGCTACTGCGGGAGAAATCACTTTCAAGTTATGTATACTTTCCTTGAGTTTCTCTTTAGTCATGGTTGTCTTTTACTAGATTATGTTTGTAGAAACTTGGAAGGAATGCACAGAAGGGTACTCTAAAGGTAGGACAAAAGGCACAAAGATTGTAATGACGGTTACTGTGATTGAGTTAATCGGCTAAGAGATCACATGTGCTGTTTTGTTTTATTCCCATTAATGCTGGAATTTCATGATACTTTTGTTCAAGTAAATTGTACTGCTTGCTTACTAAAAATAATTGGTCTTTCATTTGCTGTTAATTGGTCCATTTACATTCATAGGGTAATATGGATATTGATTTGTTTGAATATGGTTTATTCTTAGAGCAGTGTGTATGATTCATCATTTTGGATGTATGGTCTATGACTTTTTAGAAAAAAATGAATGCAGTTCAGTTCAGTTTTTTTTGTTATTCTTCTGAGGCAGTCAGTTGGAGATGTGGCTGTACAAGGTTTTTTCTTAAAGTGTTCTGGAAGGATAAGTTCTGGTTCCTTGGAATTTGAGCTATACAAGCTACATGGAATTTGCTGTTAAAACGCTTTTTCCTTTTCTTGTTTTCAGTTATTATTTTCCTTTTAGTTCCTTTATTGTCTCTGTATCTTTGTTATTAACAAAACTAACATCTTAGATTATGTTACAAAATGACATCTTTGCATAGATTGTAGTTGATAATTGTTAGTTCCTTTACAGGACATCAGTCTGAAAGTGACAGTGATATTAGTAGTGATGATTTAGAGGAGGAACAGGATGATGATGGCAATATTGATGATAGGAAAAGTAAACAACATGACGAAGTCAATGTTGCTCCAGACAACTCAGATTTGTTTGAGAAAAAACACATGCCCACAGAAGTTGATTTTGATGCGGAGGCTGACATTGCAAGAAAAGTTCTCCAGACTTTGATGAATTCTTCATCCAAAGCTTCTGCTCCTTCTGATGTGGATGATTCCATACTGCCAAAGGGAAACAAGACAGATGAAACTGTTGATGTGCCAAGTAAGAAGTCCAATAAGCATGAAAATTTTTCTGGTGCTTTCCTACCTGGAGACTCGGGCAAAAGCAGTGCAGCTGATGTTAAGAAGACCGACACAGAGGATGATGATTTACAAAGAACAGTTTTCATAAGCAATATTCCTTTTGAGATTGATAATGAAGAAGTGAAACAACGATTCTCTGCATTCGGAAAAGTGAAATCCTTTGTCCCAGTCCTTCATCAAGTCACCAAGTATGAATTCATATACAGTTCCAAATGCTTCCTTATCTCCTTTTCTTTAACTGAATTTATGTGATAATTATGCTCTGGCAGGCGACCGAGGGGTACTGGTTTTCTCAAGTTTGAAACAGAAGATGCAGCTACTGCCGCAGTTTCTGCAGCTAATATTGCATCTGGTTTGGGGATTTTGCTAAAAGGCAGGCAGCTGAAAGTCTTGAAGGCCTTGGATAAGAAGGCAGCTCGTGATAAAGAAACTGAGAAGGCCAAAATTGTGGATAGCCAAGACCACCGAAATCTTTACCTGGCAAAGGTTGGCTTTCATCAAACTCGACGTGACCATTCTTAAGACCTTCATATTCCTGTTCTCTTGTTTGTACCATTCGGTGATAGATTTCTTTCTAATGTACTTTGACTTTTCTTTTTGCGCTCCTCCCTAAATTCTTGATAGGAAGGTCTTATTCTTGAGGGGACTCCGGCTTCTGAAGGCATTTCAGCTAGTGACATGGCCAAGCGGAAGGCGTAAGTCTCTCCTGCCCTCTGTCTCTTCTATGTCAATTATTTTTCAAAACATAGGTTGAGAAGCCAGTCCTTGATTATGGCACATACATTGTGGATGCAGGTTTTTAATATTTGTTTATTGTAGTTTATAATGAGAATCTTGAGTCTGAAAGGTTATCCAAGCAACGTTGATGGAGTTTTGCCTCTCTCTGCATTTAAAACAGCTGCTTGCATATGTAGCATGCTAAATGTGAATGTTGTCTGAAACTTTTTCTAAATCTAAGAAAAGTAGGAAGGTGTGCTGCAAGTTTTGGAATTATGATATCTTCCAGCTAGAATTTGATAGGGTATCTCAACAATTATGTTATTAATGGTGCTCTTGGGAGATTTCGCCATCTTACCTTATGTATCACAATGCTGTTTATACTCTGCAGGTTGCATGAAAAGAAGATGATTAAACTTCGATCTCCAAATTTTCATGTTTCAAGGACCAGGCTTGTAATTTACAACTTGCCCCACTCAGTGAATGAAAAAAAACTGAAAAAGCTTTGTATTAATGCAGTTATCTCACGAGCTACAAAGCAAAACCCTGTGATTCGACAGGTTGGCTACAGTTGTCATTTAGTAATTGTTTTTCTGAGGTTTTATTGTGTTGCTCTCACGACTTCCTCTTGCACTGGTATTGCTGATGCAGATAAAGCTCTTGAAAAGTGTGAAGAATGGAAAGGTTGTCACAAAAAATCATTCTCGTGGGGTTGCCTTTATAGAGTTCACAGAGCATCAACATGCTCTTGTGGCCCTGAGGGTTCTTAATAATAATCCAGGTAATGTGTTTTATTATATCATATTGCAGCTGGTATTCTTATGAGTATGATGAAAGCAAATTTGTTTCTGTCTTGAATGCAACCTTTGGCTACTTCTAGACACTTTTGGCCCGGAACATCGTCCAATTGTGGAGTTTGCTGTTGATAATGTTCAAAAATTGAAGCTCCGAAAAGCTAAACTACAGGCTCAGCAGCAGGAAAGCCATGATGATTTGGCAGATACGCAGGATGGTACTGTGTCCAATGAACCGAGTGATGTTCCAAGGAAAAAGGAGAATTCCAGGAAGCGAAAATCACGAGATGAGAAAAAACCAGCAAAGAATTCAGAACCGAATAAGAACACAGCAGGAAATGTGGTTTCTGAGGGAGCTTCCTCTGAAGAACAAAAAAGTTATAAAAAGCGCAAGAATGACTTGGTGAGAGAAAAAACAGAAACTGCTGCAAATAATAAATTCAATGGCAAAAAAAAGAAGTTGAAAGGCTCTGTGCACAAGCAAAATGGTCGTCAAGTTGAGAAACCTGATGCAAGTTCAAGCAAACGTGAAATGACAACCAAAAATACACGAGAATCAAAATCTTCTGAGGAAAAAGGTGTGAGGCTAAAAAAGAGGAAGCTGCCAGACCAGGCAGAACAAGGAGAAGAAAGTTTAAAGAAAAGGAACAGGCCAAAAAAGAATAAAGACCCCGTAGGGCGAGATGTAGTAGACAAACTCGACATGCTGATAGAACAATACAGATCAAAGTTCTCAAAGCAGAGTTCAGAGAAATCTGATGGCGAAAAGCAAGCTAAAAAACCGCTCAAGAGATGGTTCCAATGATAGTTTTCTTCTTTTGAGATTTTGTACTGCTTTCTGCTTTCTTTTGTAAAAAATATCGAGATGCCTATGCAATTGCTTAATTGTCTTGTCTGTCAGGTTAAATTCAACAATTTTGTGAACTTAAAGTGCAAATTTTTGGGAATTACATCAGTTACAGCTCCTATTTTCTTTGGAGCATTATGGAAGCAATGTTCATTTTTGGAGCAGCATTCTTATTGTCTGTGTTAATGATCAAGTTCATAATTGATTCATTTTTTCCAGCAGAATGGAAGAAAAGAGAGGACATTCTTGGAGCTCCTATTTTGTTTGGAGCATTATGGAAGCAATGTTCATTTTCAGAGCAGCATTCTATTTGTTTGTATTAATGATCACATTCGTAATTGATTCATTTTTTCCAGCAGAACTGCAGAAAAGAGGACATTCTTGGTGTTTATGTAATGCTTGCTCTGCATTTTGGCTAGCAGAAATCATTGTGACGAAGTTGGAATTCTAGAATTCTAGAATTCTTATCAGATAATATTGAATTATTGAGGAATGGACAACAAAATGCAACAAGTTTTGGGTCTGTCTTTTCTGTCTTTTTCTGGATGTCTTTATCAACTGCGCTACAGCTGATAACACAGTTTCTTCTGGAGATAGTGTGGGCTAAGGTTGAAGGGAGGTTGGGAGAGCAACAACCCTATTTGTATTTTTGTTGGGTGACGATATTATGCCTTATCGCTTGACAATCAGGAAATAATCAATTCATTACCATCCAAGTTCCAATGCAATTCTCTTTGGTATCAATAAAAGCTTTTTTAACATCTCAAATTAAATAAACATAAATAAATAAAAACTTGTTTGAACATGATGATAAAGATCATTTTTTAAAAATTAAAATTAAAATCCGTATGGTATATATATTAAATTAAATCTGAATTGCAGCGATGACTTGCAAATTTTGACTATATATTATATAACATTTAAAAAAAAAAAAAAGAGAGAGTAATGTTGCAGAATGGATTGTGACCTTCTGCTGATGTAGGTGTTGTGGCAAACAGCTTGCCTAGTGGGGAAGAGCAATAAAGGTGAAGATGAAGAAGAAGGAGGAGAAGAATGAAAAGAAAGGAAAAAGAGGATACTCAATCAAAGTGTCTATTATTGGCTGAAATTATGAGACACATCCTTCACTTTTCAAGCCTTTCATTTTCACCAAGTTAAAAGTACCAAGCACATTCTTTTCTTACTATGAATTCCCAAATAGACAATTAGTTTTTAAATTCATATGAAATACATTAAAAATAAATTCCGGTTCAAATGGTAAAGCACATTTAAATTTAAAATATAATTTCTATAAAAATTAAAATTCAATCTATAAAAAAACATTTATAGAGAGTGATAATTAAGAATCTCAAAACGGGATTAGTCTGGTATAAAAAAAAGAATAAGATAAATACATATGAAAAATCTATTTAATTACTTGATTTATAATCAAAATCTAATTAATCAAAAAATAATATAAATAATCTACCATTAGTGGCGAAATTATTGACATTTTGAATAAATTCACCTCCCATAGTACTCTTGGGTGACACTTGTTATTCACATGTGTACAATAAAGGTTTAGAAGAACAATTAGTAGGAGTCCTTCACATGAAAATCTTAGTGTTGGTCACATGAAGAAGGCTCCATTTTTTCAAAAGGCACCCACTTTACGTGTGAGCTTTTATTCAGTCGTTCATATTCCCATGTCTCTTTCACATTTACTCTTTAAGTTGCCTGAGTTTTAATTTTTTGAATATTTAATAGCAAAATTCTTAAATTAATTTCTAGATATATTTTTTTCAAGATATTTTTACATATTCTACATAGTTTTTTTTATTTTATGTTATTATTTAAGATAGTTAATGATAGAAGTAAAAAGATTGAGATTAAGAGAATGCTAGAATTTATTATTGATTGTAATGTGTCCTTTAATGAGGTAAAATATAGATATTTATAGTGTCTTTTCTATTCTAATTGAGGAAATCAAAATAATAAATATTGAGTAAGAATTTCGCTCTTGAATATCGAGTGAAAATCTCGGATTATTAATTATATGATTAATTGATATTTTGATCGAACGTTACTTCTATTTGAACTGGTATGAGTAACGCTCGTTTAATTCTATTAATTGTATTAACTGTGCCTATCATTTATAAATAATTAAAAAAAATCTTATTTATGATTAGTCCCAAAAAAACCAATTATTCACCGACATGATTTTGTATTTTCAAACCTTATGAGTGTTTAAAAAAAAAAAAAAAAAAAGAAAAAAAAAAAGTTTAAAAAAAAAAAAAAAAAAGTGATGCATCTCTAATGATCCTTCATTTGTAAGCTATTTGCTTTAGCATGATAGGTTTGGCCTATCAAATGAGGTTGACTAAATATTCTAAAAAATAAAAATAAAAATTGTAATTATGGTTTGATATTGAATCATATAATGAAAGTAACCATAAAAATGATGAATAAAGAAAAAGACAATATCAAATAGGAATTGAAAGGCTAACTAATTAGAAGTAGATAGAGGAGGATTAAGGATATCACATGTGCTTGTTCTTCTCTTGTTTCTTCTTCTTATCTTCACATTCTATTAATTTGCTAATTACACATGGTAGGCCCCATTTCCAATTCTCTTTCTGATTGTAAGTTGTAACTATTAAAGTACAATCATTTTTCATCATAACCAAACCTTCCCTACAAGTAACTAGAAACAACAGAGATTATTATATTATTATTATTATTATTATTATTATTATTTATGCATTACCTCACTTAAAATTCTTTATGGTTTAAGGTTTTTACACGGTAATTAAAGAAATTTATTATTATACATACATATGTATTACTTCACTTAGATTTTATATGATTAAAGATTTTTACATAATGATTAAATAAAAACACAATACTTATTAATTTGATTAAATTATCTTTTATATCACTTAAATACTTTAATTTTAATAATTCTCTCCTTATAAGAGAGAGAGAGAGAGAAAGAGGGATGCAATAAGAAAAGCTTTATGAAATTAAAGAAGTAGATTATTGATTTTAGTAGAAATAAAGATATAATTAGAACAACTTGATTAATATTCTTTAGTCTCTTCAAAATCATAAATAATTATAAAAAAATAGATAGAAAAAGTAATAAGTTTAAATTTTAAAAATCTAAATCCTTAATTGTTATAAATAAATAGACATAAAGCATATCAATATATCCGACCGAAAAATGCGTGTATAAATCTAAACAAAGAAGAAAATGTTAATTTAATAGAATTGATTTGCTTAGACTCGGTTTATGGTTTTATCTATGAACTAAATCAATGAAAATGAAATTTTTTATTAAAATAAAGATATTTCTGACCATACCGAAAAAAAAAAAGAGAAAAGTAGAAACAATTTTAAAAATTTTCTATTAGTTTGGTCTATAGGTAAGGCCATAGACCCACTTTAAAAAATTATAATCCTAATTTTAACTAAACACGAAAATAATATATATATAAACACGAAATAATATATATATATATATATATATATATATATATAATATATATATATATAATATATATACTATATATATATTTATTATTATTTGAAATGAAAACGACAAAATAACTGTAACGGCTCAGCCATCTATAAAAAGCTCTGTGAGTGAACCTTCCACATTAGAAAATCATTATCATACTTAATAATGCGTTTTTTTTTTTTTTTTGAATTATTTTTGTTTTCTAAACAGCAAGCGTCTTTTTGCTAAATGCATTTACAGGATAAGAAGCCCATAGAGGCACCTTTTTCGCGGAAACCAGTATACATACAAATTAGATTCAATATAATAAAAATAATAAATGATTTAATAGGTGAATTAAAGAATTTTAAAATAGGAATAATCATTTCCAACCGCAGGTTTTTTTTTTTTTTTTGAATTATTTTTGTTTTCTAAAAGCAAGTCTTTTTGCTAATGCATACAGGATAAGAGCCCATAGAGGCACTTTTCGCGAAACCAGTATACATAAAATAGATTAATATAATAAAAATAATAAATGATTTAATAGGAATTAAAGAATTTAAAATAGGAATAATATTTTCCAACGTGGTTTTAATATTTAAATTATATATATATATAGAAATTCCAACGTAAAAGTGATGTGGACCATTACACTTGCAGTTTAACTGTTTCGTGCAATTATAGTAAGCTAATACATTAGCTATTATATGCAGGTTGTTGGATGCAGGTTACCTTGTTCATAAAATAGTAATACAACCCACGATGAAAATTTTAGCTTTCTTTGTCATATATATTAACAGTAGCAACAAGCTTCAAGACAAAAGTTTCTTTGTTCTCATATATAGGACCCTACTACAACTCCTATAACCCATCTTCTCTTTCCCACAATGACTCACTGTTAAGAATTGTATGCAGATAACCATTCTCTTTTCTCATTCTTTCTCTCTGTTTCTCACCTTCCAAACACCCCTGTTTTTCAGTGCACTTATCAATTCTTGATCTCTTTCTCTTCACTCTTACACACATACAAGAGAGACGAAAAAAATGAAAATGGAAGCAAACTCAACAACCAAATGGTTTTCTTCACTATGTATGATGGTGTTATTATCTCTATGTTCACTCCACTTAATACAATGTAATGTTACTTATGACAAGAAGGCTCTTATCATTAATGGGCAAAGAAAAATTCTTTTCTCTGGCTCCATTCACTATCCAAGAAGCACTCCTCAGGTCCATTATTAATCTTTCCCATACTTTCTCACATTTTCCCAAGAAAATGTAGTTTCCAGTTGAATTTTGCATATGAAACTACATTATAAAATATGATTTTTATGTTACAATGCAGATGTGGGAAGGACTAATACAGAAGGCTAAAGATGGTGCTTTGGATGTTATAGATACTTATGTTTTTTGGAATCTTCATGAGCCTTCTCCTGGCAATGTACTTTAAAGAACTCTGTTTTTGCTCTGTTTTTATTAGTTCTTTTCACATTTTTAAATTACTATTAACTGATTTTTGTTGTGAATTGTGAAGTATAATTTTGAAGGAAGGTATGATTTGGTTCAATTTATTAAGTTAGTCCAAAAAGCTGGGCTCTATGTGCATCTTCGCATTGGACCTTATGTATGTGCAGAGTGGAATTTTGGGTAATTACTAATTTTTTAAAATTATTATTTACATTTGCTAATATTTTTGCATTTTAATCAAATTCAATTTTCCTTAACATTTATTTTTTATTTTTCTATATTCTTTTGTTGTTCTTAGAGGGTTTCCTGTTTGGTTGAAGTTTGTTCCAGGCATCAGCTTTAGGACAGACAATGAGCCTTTCAAGGTAATTCCTCTGTTTCTATTTATATATATGTGTAGATGAAAACTAATTATTTGTTATTATTATTATGGAAATAGAAGGTAATAATCTTGGTATTGCAGCTGGCAATGCAAAAATTCACCCAAAAAATAGTTCAAATGATGAAAGATGAAAAATTGTTTGAGTCTCAAGGTGGGCCCATTATATTGTCTCAGGTATAATTAAAATTTTCTTTTCTTTATATATATTATTATTCATCAATTACTTTGCTATATAATATATTAATTTGGGTTATCAAAATAAAAAGAAAATAAAGGCTTTCAAGAAAATAATGTTACAATAAAAATTATTATTATTTTGTTGTGTTGCAGATTGAAAATGAATATGAACCTGAAGAGAAGGCATTTGGAGATGCTGGCTATGCATATATGACTTGGGCTGCACATATGGCTCTTTCATTGAATACTGGGGTTCCATGGGTTATGTGCAAGCAATCTGATGCCCCTGAGCCAGTGGTACTCAATCATATATATATATATATATATACACACACCTACGTTGAGATTAAACTTCGTGCAATAGTTATCTTATTATACATATGACTCTTTTATGATATCAACATAGGACACTATGAATTTCATTCAGATACAAGTAAAAATGCGATAAATAAAATCTTAAAACCATTGTTTACCCAAAATTACACTAGAAATATCTCTAGTCACATTATATTATATTTCATTACGGTTCACCAAACGTAACCTAAAGTTTGATTCAAATTTCACATCCTACTCTTAATCATGTTTGTGAATCTTGTCAACAGATAAACACATGCAATGGTTTTTACTGTGACTATTTCACTCCAAACAAACCTTACAAACCAACAATGTGGACTGAGGCTTGGACTGGCTGGTAATTATATAAACATTTTCTTTTTTTTTATCTTAAATGGTATCATTTTCTTTAAATTGCTCTATGTGATGAATAGTTTAAATATTAATAAAAATATAATTTTCTAGGTTTAATGATTTTGGAGGTCCAGTACACCAGCGCCCTGCAGAGGATTTAGCATTTGCAGTTGCTAGGTTCATTCAAAAAGGAGGCTCCTTTGTTAACTATTACATGGTTAGTATGTTAAATTAAAATACTATATCTTTTAGTTTTCACTAAGTTAGTTTTGGGGCCAAAAATGCTAATTTTGAAAATAACGAGGACCAAAATGATAATCATGGAAACCTCAAGGATGTTATAGTAATTATCCATTTTGATTTATAGTGCATTTGGCAGTACTACTGGTTCATATTAAAGTTTTAATTGGAAATGATTCCATAACATTCTCACTTCTTTTGTGTGTTAGAAGAACAAATTTTTTACTTACTTTCACTATTAAGTATACTTGTTCTTTAATGTTCTAAACAAAAGCAAAAGCAAAAGAAGCTTCCTTGAATTCTAAGGAAGTATCTGAACTTTGCATCTAATAAAATCTTTCCATCAAAAGAAGAATTTTATCTTTCATATAATAAATTTTTAATTCAATAAAGTCATCATATATTCTTGACATAAATAAATAAATAATTCCTAAGTTTTTGCAATATTAACTTTTTGAAAATTAAATGATTTTACTGATGTAAATTTTTTCAGTATCATGGAGGGACAAATTTTGGAAGAACAGCTGGAGGACCTTTCATTACTACCAGCTATGACTATGATGCACCCATTGATGAATATGGTGAATCCCATTTTGTGATTTAATCAAATTATTCCATTTTTTTTTTTTTTTTTTTCATTACTACCAGCTATGACTATGATGCACCCATTGATGAATATGGTCGAATCCCATTTTGTGATTAACTCAAACTTACTTTCCAATTTTTTTTTTTTTTGTTTCGATATGAAATCTAACACATATCTTCAGGATTTTTTTTTTTTTTTTTGTTTGATATGAAATTAATATCAGCTCCATTAACTCTAATTTTTATAGGATTAATTAGACAACCTAAGTATAATCATCTAAGGGATCTTCACTTGGCTATTCAGTTGTGTGAGAAAGCTTTGCTCACTTCTGATCCTACGGTCACAGCCTTGGGAAGTTATCAACAGGTATGTATGCTTGTTAACATTTTAAAGATGCTACTTAAGAGCTTTATTAATGTAGATGGAAGTCATTTTACTTAAAAAAGATGTATTTAGGCTGTATTTGGTAAGCAGTAATGTAATATAAATTATATAATGTAATTTACTGGAGTGCATTTTTTTTTCAGGCACATGTATTCTCTTCTAAATCAGGAGATTGTGCAGCTTTTCTGTCAAACTACAATCCAAAGGTTACTGCAAGGGTGACATTTAATAACCTGCATTACAGCCTGCCGCCTTGGTCCATCAGCATCCTTCCTGATTGCAAAAATGATGTTTTCAACACTGCCAAAGTAAGTGAAATATACTAGACTTACAAACCTTATCTCCTCATTCTCATATGGTTTATAATTTACAATGGTAAAACATATAAATTTGATCCTGAATTTTGTCTGATTATCTTTGCGGCCTCTTAAATAACTATGCCTCTCGCCAAAGTGAGATATATATTTACACGAATTTAATCACGAGTCATGATCCTATACTTTCGCATTTTGTTTTGATGAGAGACATAATTATTATTGAAAATTTGAAATGTGAAAGTATAGAGTCATGATCTCTGTAAAGTTTAGGGACTACAAAGATAATCGCCGAAAGTACAAAGGTAAATTTATAAATCAGACCAATTTACAACTCTCGAATTCTGGAAAAATGTAAGGGATTAAATCCATGACCCCACCACAAATTACCTAAACTAAAGGTGTACTAATTAAGCTAATACAACCCAGTGTAATTGGAAATCCTCAGCATAAACAAAAATGAGAAAATGATTTGCAGGTTGGAGTTAAAACATCCCAAGTGGAAATGTTGCCCACAGAGAGTGAATTTGATTCATGGGAGGCCTTTAGTGAAGATGTGTCATCTGTTGATGATACTAAAATATATACAGTTGCTGGCCTTTTGGAGCAAATAAATGTTACAAGAGATACAAGTGACTATTTATGGTACACAACTGGGTAAGTTCCTCTCCATTTGCATGTATATCAAAATCTTCATTTTCTCCTTTATTTTTCTAAGATACTTTTCAATTTCAAGTATTTTAATTTGAACATACATTTATGTATATATGGCTATTTAATGGTAATTAGTAACAATTAATGATATTTGTTTAGTGGTGTAATTTTTCCAAATATATATATGGTACTTGCAGTGTTCATATAAGTTCATCTGAATCATTTCTAAAAGGAGGCCAACAACCCATTCTCACAGTGGAATCATCAGGCCATGGGTTGCATGTCTTTGTCAATGGGCAGCTTTCTGGTAAATTGTTTTTGTGAAATTGGATTATGCCTTGCAAATCTGTTATGGTAATTTTGGTAGACAACAATAAATCCTTTGTGAAACAAGCAAAACTCATTTTCAAATTGGTGAAATCACCTGTAATTGAGAGACTTAAACTCGGTATCTCTCATTTCTCACATAAGTTAGAAGACCAATCAAACCACAAATTTTTTTTTTTTTTTTTTTTTTTTTTCACCTGTAACTTGAGAGACTTACAACTCAGGGTACTCTCTCATTATCTCACAATTTAAGTTAGAAGGACCAATCAAACCACAAATTTTTTCTTTTTTTTTTTTTTTTTTGAAACAAGGCAGAGTGAATTTTTTTTTTTTTTTTTTTTTTTGAAACAAGGAATGAAATGTTTTTAGAATAATTTATATTCATGGCCTTAATTGATAGGATCTGCCTATGGGACAAGGGTATACAAAAGATTCACTTATAAAGGAGAAGTGAAGCTACATGCTGGAAGAAACAGAATTTCATTGCTAAGTATAGCAGTTGGATTGCCAGTTAATAATTCTCCAAAACCCCCCAATTTTCAGTACATATTATCCTTTTTAGGGTTTAGCCAATTTGGACTTGATGTTCTTATATACTGTGTTTTTGGTTGTAGAATGATGGTCCCCATTTTGAGACATGGAAGACAGGAATCCTAGGGCCAGTCCTCCTCCATGGCCTAGACAAAGGGCAGAGGGACTTGACGTGGCAGAAATGGTCATATAAGGTGGTCCATCAATTCTACATATTTAGTTATTCTCAAAAAACAGAAAAAAAAAAAATGAAAGAAAGATTTAATTCTTGATTATATTCTTTATATATATATATATATATATATATCACTTATAGTGACTTGGTTTCCACTTAATGGGCTTTGATTTTACTTTTTACAGATTGGGCTTCAAGGAGAAGACTTGAATTTGGGATCTCCAAATTCTATCCCATCAGTTGAATGGACTCAAAGGTCCATAGTAGTACAAAGACAACCATTGACTTGGCATAGGGTATATGCCAATTTCTATTATTATCTTAACATAATTTTTTTGTGGACCATATTAAATTTTTATTTTCTTTTATAAAAATGAGCACTCACGATGCACTATGAGATTTATAAGTAAAAAAAAAAAAAAAAAAAAAGCACTACACGCACTGCACTATCGAGATTTCTATAGTAAAAAACAAAACAAAAAAAAACAGCAAGATTACATCGCGAACATAAGCCACTTGTCAAGCGTGCAGCTAATTGACTAAATGTACTTGCAGCCTTCTTTGGAACCACCTAAGGCAGCATGAGCCCTTGGCCTTAGACATGAGCCAGTACTTGGCGAAAGGGCCAAAAAAAAAAAAAAAAAAAAAAACAGAAGATTACATGCGAACATAAGCACTGTCAAGGTGAGCTAATTACTAAAATGTACTTGCAGGCCTTCTTTGGAACACCTAAAGGAGATGAGCCCTTGGCCTTAGACATGAGCAGTATGGGAAAGGGCCAAGTGTGGATCAATGGGCAAAGCATTGGAAGATATTGGAGTGTTTATGCTAATGGCAATTGCACTGGCTGTAGTTATAAGGGCACTTTCAGGCCCACAACCTGCCAGTTTGGTTGTGGCCAACCAACTCAAAAATGGTACCACCTTTTTCAAATTAATTATTCCATTGACTAATTAATATTTCACTAAATCTAATTTTGGTGATCAAATTTCACTTTTCCCCTGAAAAAAAAATTCTCAATTTAGTATAATTTAGTCATCAAACTATAATTTCATTTAAGATTTAACATAAGACAAGTAAATTAACGTTGGAACGCTAACTTTATGTTCAGCATTAACTTCTGAGTTAGCTTCTCTTTTTATTAAGTATGAATTTTAAGTTGTCTAATTCAGTTAAAAAATTTTAAATTGTCTGATTTTTTTTTCCTTATTATCTTCCAATCTTTCAGGTACCATGTTCCTAGATCATGGTTGAAGCCAACCCAAAATTTATTGGTTGTATTTGAAGAAACTGGAGGAGATGTATCAAAGATATCTTTAGCAAAAAGATTAGTGACAAGTGGTTAGCTATTAGCCACATCTCAAATTATCAATGCATAAATCAAAAAAAGAAAGCAACCTATGTATAGATAATCAGACATGGAGTAGATGTATTGAGCTTTTATGGTGCTGTGACAGGCTCTTTCCATCAACATTATCAGAAAGGAATTCTAGAAATGTAGGACACTGCCTTTTACTAGACTATCCATAAATATTATACAAAACCCTATCTTTCCTAGGGTACTAAATTTTTATGCTGTGGCTTAAAACCATCACAGATAAGATTTAAATGATGGCAAGTTATTTTGTGGTGCTAATTGACAACTTTGGGCTTCCTCAATTTCTTTTTGACTAGCATTGCTTATAAGGTAAAAGGTGACAAATTGGCCTAACTTTTTATGACAAAAAGGGTGATTAGTGTCCTGGTACGATTAAATCTAACCCTAACTCATGGATAAATCTTAAATAGAAAGAAACACGAAACACGTTTCGGTTAAAATATAAAAATTGAATTGAATTAAAATACATTATTCATTCAAACTACAAAAATTGTTAATATTGAATAAATTTTTTATCAATTGATAAAGATAATTTTATTGTATGTAATTTGAAAATTAGTTGAAAAAATTTCAAATACAAACCTCTTAAAAAATCAGGTTTTTATCCATTCAAAAGGTTTTAGATTTTAAACTCTATAATTATGGGAAGTTTGGGGGTATATTGGCAATTCCATAAAAATAGTGAACCCACCTCCTTGACTAATTTTCTCTGAAATTAGAGAGATTCCAAATATATGGATCTAGATGAAATATAAATTTAATTTAATTTCTTCATCTTTTCCACCTTTCAAATAAGGGGAAAAATAATTCTTTTATATATTTTTTATAGTTATTTTCTTTCCTTTTGGAAAAAAAAAATACTTTCATTCAAATAAAGGCTTAATCATAATATGTAATATTTAAATTAAAAATTGTAATTTTTTCTTGAAATAAATTAAATTATAAGTTTGTAAATCATTAAAACAATAATATTACAAAATGGGGGAATAAATTATTTTTATCTTATACAATTGAAAAGTCAACAGATGGACCGATATCATACACGCAATACACGTGAAAAATGAAACAAACAGATGACGTTCTGCCCCCTTGTTCAATAAACTTGAAATAGCTAATTTACTTTCAATTAAATAATAATTTATTATTATTATTATTATTAATTTTTTAATTCTTTCACACCACATTGTTTATTGGTAAGTGAAAATACGAAATAAATTCAGTGAATTCCCTCTTTAAAACTGAAAAAGAATAATTATATATATATTATTCATAAATAAAACACTCTTAAAAGCCAGCAAACCTCTATAAGGTTAAGGTTTTATTGAATGATCTAGAAGTAAAATTTCGTGATGAAGATTGTACAAAAATAAGGGCCAAGATAGTTGAAAGGAGATTAACTCCTTGTTTGGAATAAATAAATTCCACAAATGTTTGTAAAATTTATTTATAAATCTATATTTTTGTGTTTGAAATAAAAAAAAAATTAGATTTTAATTTTAGGAATTCAATTTTATGGAATTGACATAACTACACTTTTCACAAAAATAGATAGAATTTCTAGATCAATTCCACAAAACTAAGCACTCTAACTTTTTACGATAAAATTACATTTCTCCGTCTACAAAGTCAATTTTTCAATTTTTTTTACATATTTAACTTATTTATTTTATCAAACTTGACCAAAATCATTATAAAAATTTATTTTTTTAGAAAAATATTTTCTTATTTTTTTGTTTTTGTATTTTAATATTTTCATATTTTATTTTAATATTTTTTTAGCATATTTTTACTATTGAAGAGAGATATTCAAGTTAAATATATATTTATTACTAAATTAAATTGAATAATTTCGTCAATACTATTTTATTTTATATTTATATTTTAATAAAAATCTACAAAATTATATAGAATAACATAAATATAATTGGTAGTTATTATTTATTTTTGTGAAATTACTATTTCAAGGATATTTTAGAAAACAAAAGCAAGTAAATTTTTAATTATAAATTTATTTTATATATAATTATGTGAAATTCAATTGAATTACATGTTTTAAATTAATCACACCAAACATGAAAATTCATTTCTATTAAAATTTATTTACAAATAAATTTTATATTTTAAATTTATTTATACCATATGAGACTTGAAAATGCATATTTAAACTTTTATCATAAAGAAAACGTTTATAAAGAGGGGTAGCTACTAGCTACAAACCTCGAGATTAGCTTAGTCCTTTACCCGAAAGGATTGCCAAAAATACTTATAAGAAAATTTTAAAAAAGTATACTTTATTTATTTCTGTTAATAGGTTCTACCCTTCTTTCTATTTGTTTAATTATTTCTCTCTCTCTTTTTTTTATTCGTTGAGAAATCAAATCGACCTAAAAAAATACGATGGATTACCTGATAAACATAATCATTTTTTTAATTTACTAGATTAGTAAAAACTCTCGAGATAGAAAAATCTTAAAATGACTCGATTTCAAACTTCTCATTCTTCTTAGAAAATCAATCAACTTAACTGATTGATATTTATTTTATTTTTTATTCATCACAAATCCTAATAGTCAATAGAGTTTCTTGTTAAAAAAAAAAAAAAAAAAAAATTTCGTGAGCAAATCAAATCGACCTAAAAAAAAACGATGGAATTACCTGATAACATAATCACTTTTTTTAATTTACTCAGGCATTAGTAAAAAACCTCGAAGAACTAGAACAAATCTTAAAAATGACTCGATTTTCAAACTTCTCATTCTTCTTAAGAAAATCAATCAACTTAACTGATTGATATCTTATTTTTATTTTTTATTCATCACAAATCCTAATACGTCAATTAGAGTTTCCTTGTTAAAAAAAAACAAACAAAAAAAAGTCCCAATCTGAAGTCCCCAGGTTATTAAAAACCTAACTTAACACAAAGTAAAAAAAAAAAAAAAAAAAAGTCCAATTGAAGTCCCAGGTTATAAAAACCTAACTTAACACAAGATTATCAAATTCAATAAGTATGAGATAGTCCCAACATTAACCAAAAGTATCCAACCTTTCTCTTGTGTTTAGGTTTCAAATTTCAATTTTATCGACTCAACCAACATTAATAATCAAAATTATAATTCATGATGAGCAAACATTAATTAGACTTAAACTGAATCTCATTACTAAATATTAGATAATATTTCACGTAACGCCCCATCAACGTCTAAATGTTATTATAAATATTGTTGTCAAAAATATAATTAGTAAAGATATTGTTTTCATCTTAATCAAAGTACTAAATACTATCTTAAAAATTATTGTCAAATAAGATTTATGTTCAGTTTAAAACCGAATGGATGGATTGCACATTCTGATTACAATCATGATAAGATTATAAATTATAAAGAGATAAATAGGAGGTATAACCAAAAGAAATATTTCTAGCAGCATTAGGCAACCACAAGAATAGAAGCTAACAGGAACAAAATAGTTCCAAAAATTAGTTGCACATCAAGCATCCAAAGACAAGCCAAACAATTATAAGATCATGTCAAGATGCAGTGAACTTGAAGTCAACAAAGGCGGATAGAGGCAGAATGACCAAGGGATAACTGCTGAATTGGAAAGCACTTATGCTCTTTTTTTTTTTTTTTGCCCTTTTTTTCCAAGAGAAACTTGCAATACATGTAAGTCAAGGGCAACTATGTACTGAACTTGCTTTTACTTACTTGAATTTTTTATATTAAATTTATGTTAGCTAGCAAAATAATAAAAAAAGAAAAAACAATAATAATATGATCATGTATTTTGTCGACAAGATTGGTTTAAGTTCATGGATAATTACGTTATATATAAAAGATTCGGGAATTCATTTAATCAATCACTTTTGAAGATCTATTCATTTTTTTCAAGATCACTTTTTATTTTTTATTAGATCAATAAATACTTATTATTTTATAGTTTTTATTCTATATCTAGTATTCGAGTGAGGGGATATATCCTACTTGTAATATTTATATTGATTTAAAGTTTTTTTAATGAAATCCTAATATTATCTTTGAAAAAAAAAAGTTGGTTTAGGTGCAAAAAATTTAAGTCTTAAGTGTTGAATTTCTGACCTAAAGTGGCGTAAACAGATTCTCAATAGATTAAGGACACATGCCATGTTTGAAAAAAAAAAAGAAGTCATAGTTTGATGAACACAAAATAGAGAAATTATTTGATTAATATATTTCATTATTAATCAATAGAATGAATAATAATTTTCCTAAAACAAATTTTAGCAAAGTTTTGTTCTTAGCACTCTCTTGAAATTCATGCTCTGAATGGGCCAGCCTCAGGAATCATAATTATATTATATTGTTAATTATTGTTAATTTTGAGAGAGTGACATCCCATCTAATTAACAAAAATTTACTATTTATAACGAGCGACCTTACTTTAAAAAAATATTAATTTTTAGCGTGTTTTTTTTTTATTTTGGTATTTTAAAAAGTATTTTCTATTTGATTTTATAAATTAAAACTCATAATTCGACTTGCAAATAAATCTAATTTTCATTAAAAATTCAATTTAGACTAATTATAGTTTTGCAACAAATTGCATTAGGTTTCGTAGCTGATTTTATTTTTAATAGAAAGAATAAAAGAAAATTAATCTGATCGATTTTCAACCAATAGAAGAAAAAAAAATGTAATATAATATTATATTAAAATCATAGACAGCACTGCAATGAAGAGTTTTCTAATACTAAAAAGTAGTAAATTCTGGAATGATGAGACAGCACCTGAACTTGACGTTGCAGAAATACAAGTGAAGAAGTAGCAGGTCCGTGTTTAACGTGGAAATAGTGCTACCTGCCACTTGCACTCTTTTTTTTTTTTTTTTTTTTTTTTTTCTGCATCGATTTTTCAACCCCAACTAGCAACGCCACAAAAAAAATGCTACACCATAATCCACTCTCTCCCTTCAAACATCATCAGCACAGCCACTCGCCACATCCGCACCCACAGACGCTCTTTCCTTAATACACTCTCTACAATAACAGTTACTGTTAAATTCTGTGAATTGCACTGCAGACATCACCTGTAACTTGACGTGGTCATGAAATTACAAGTGAAGAAGTAGCAGGTCCGCTGATTTTTAACACGTGGAAATAGCCTGCTAAACCTTGCCACTTTGCACTCTTTTTTTTTTTTTTTTTTTTTTTTTTTTTTAGATCTAATCTTACTAGATCATTTCATTCCCTCCTTTCCTAAATTTGTTCACCACCTGCTTCATACCTAAGCGTGGCTTCTTGCCACGCATCAATTTTGAACTTTCTCTTACTAGTATGAATTTATTGGCAATCAGCGTACGTACAATTATCTCTCCTTTGTTATACTATTATATATACATCATCTATTAAAATATCTTTTTTTTTTTTTTTTTTTTTTTTTTTTAGTAATTTACTAGACATTTCATTCCTCTTCCTAAATTGTACCACCGCTAACCTAAGGTGGCTCTGCCACGCACAATTTGAACTTTATAGTATGAATTTTATTGGAAGTAGTAAATATTTTTTGATTAACTATTTATAATAACATTATAAAATACTTCGATACAAGCTGAAGTCCTGCTAAAAGCTTAATCTAATGAACATAATCTATTGCTAATTTCAAGAAAATTTAAAATATTCTTTTAAGTAATTACTCTTCGATCAAGTTAATTAATTAAAATATGCTTTAGGTAATTAATCTAATACGTTTTAGTGTTCTGTCCGATTTTAAAAAGATTGAATAACTTTAGCCATATCCTGAACTGCTATATTTGCTGAAGCCAAAAAACCAGAAAAAGAATCATTTGTTTCATTCGATGAAAGCTTATAATCCAAAATAATATGATAATATTCATTCTAACCCATTAAATAAAAATTCAAACTTGGTTATACTTGTTTGGATTTTTAAATCAGTCTCTATAGTCACATTGTGCAGCGTTCAGTCTTTAATTAACCATTAAAGAGCCTCCCTAAAATTACCATAGCTTCAGCAATAAGAGGATTGTTTTATAACCAACAAAAGTTCCAAAAATCCGTGCAACAATTTTACATGCACCATCTGGAAGCATCCCTCCAGCTTGATCTTATGGTTAAATCGCATTAAATTTTGCCTTAATGATCGTAAAATTGAGTCATAGGGTCAACATCTTGAGAGAGCTTTTAAATATAATCGTTTCCTAATCTGAATCTGAAAGTAATACAAAGTATTCAATATATCAAACTAAAAGTTAATAATGTCGTAAGATTATTTACAAAATGTACGATGAGACTATTTGTGATTTTCTCCATGTCTTTTTTGAATTTATCAATTTTTATGCACATGTCAATTTTTAACTTATATAATGTATTAATATATTACAAAATGGTAAGCAATCTCAATCCTTGTAAGAATGAAAATATAAGTTTGATTTTCGAAAAGTGCACTTTACTGAAATGACCAAAAATTTTTATATTCTTCTGCTCAAGAGAGATTACACCTCTTGATTATACCAAATAAAATTATTGCTGGGAGAAGGTTCAAATTGCCGCCCTCAACTTGAATCTAATATTCCATATTTCACATTTTTTTAACAATTTCATTGTGGCACACTGAGTACTAACCTAGTGATAAGTGAATTTACAACTTGACTATATCAAATCCTCCCTCCCCAATACTTTTTTAAAAAAAAAGGTTAGAGTGTGTCTTCTTCAAACATAACCAAAAGAGAGCTCTCATAATTCAATATAACTGAAAATACCAACTAAGAGCAACTCTAACGAGATTATGGAATGTGAGTTATCTAATTACCAAATCAGAAAAATAGACATTTGAACAATAATATATTTTTCAATGCTACTGTTTATTTAATCTGTTAAGCTGATGTGCAAGAAAAAAAAAGAGAGTAAATATTGTGAAACACATTCTCTATTTTTAGAGGGTCTGTTAGACAATGTGACTCAGTTATTTAATTCTTTTTTACTATTAGTTTTATTTTCCTTTTCCATCATCTTCTCTTCGTGCTAAAACTTCTCACGCTCAATCTATTTCTTCTTGACATTGAACCTATAGGTTTTATTTTAATTAGACATAATTTTTAAAAAATAATACAAATCATCATAAAATCCTATATTTTGATTAAGATGCATTGGAGAGTCATTTTTCAAATTTAATATCCATAAATAAACTTATACCCAAGTCACTCTTAACGTCTTTTATTTAATATGCTATATAAGCCACAACCCACGGTTACGTTGGAGTTGCTCTAAAATCCCATAAGAAAAAGAAGAACTAAAATTGAATTTTTGGTCCAGAACTACATTACAAAATCCTAAAAATTCATAAAATTTTCACCCATAAATATACATTGCAATACAAGACAAAAAGTCTTGTCATGAAAACCCGATATTCAATCTTTATAACAAAAATTATTTGATTTAGGGGCTAAATTATTTTATCAAAACATTCAAAAGTAAATTTAGAAGTTTAAAATTAGGTAAGAAATAATCATTTAAAAATATAAAATAATTGTAAAAAAATTACAATATCTTGTCTTTGATTTAAAAATAATTAAATAAAATATTTGATTTAAAAATTATAAAATTGAAAAATATTTCATTATATTGACTATTTGGTGTGAAAAATATTTATTTTTTTGCCTAATTATTTTTAATTATACTTGATTCAAATCAAAATATTTAATTATTTTTTAATCATATTTAATTTGAATCAAAAACTTGTTTTCCGGTTATATTATTTAATAAAATAAATTTATTTGGTGATGAGAAAAAACCACAACCTGAATAAAACCGTACTATCCAGCTCATATAATGTCAGTTATTTAACAAATTCATACAAAGACGTGGATCCTTACTTATCCTTTCTTTTTACATTTCCCAGAATGCCATTCATTCTTACTCTTTTTACAATCCTACCATCGCAATTTCTTCCATCTAACCTTTTTATCATCAAAACCAAATTAGCATAGAGTAGTAAATGATGGTATTTAATGATTTTGATGAAAACAAATCCCATTCACATTTATTGAATTAAAATTACACTACTTAATCTTTCTATTAAATTTTATATTATTTAAATATAATACACGGAATAAAATTAAAGACTAATTATTAAATTCTTTTGGTGCGAACTATATTATTAAATTATAAAAATAAAAATATTTCACTGATAAATCATAATATATCTAGAAAGTAAATTATAAATTCACTCTTTGTAGATGCTTTTACATATTACATTAATTAGTATACATAATTAAGGACAATAAAGATAGTTTATCAGTAATTATTAGAAAAATATATAAAAAGTTTTTATAGCATGACAGAATAAATGAGTAACTAAATAATTAAATTTTGAAAATAAAAAGCTGTGATTAGTATATTTCAGTATAATCAAGAAATAAAAATATAGGTATTAATATTATTTTATAAATAAAAAATTAATGATAATTCACGTCTAAGGGATTTTTTGTAATAAAAATTTTTGCATTGTCAGTGCGATACACGTTATAATCCTACAGAACTAGTTTCAATAAAGTACAATATATATTAATTTTATAATTATTCAAAATTAACGTGTCACGATTTAATAAGTTTAGTTTACAGCAATATATGATGTAAAAAATAGAAATAAAAAATTATCTATGTTTTTTTTTTCTTCTCTCTCTACATGACACAATCTCTCTCTTGTCTTTGTGCGTGTCATTTCTAATCCTCGAAGACGCACACTTTTACACCACTTCCATGGCCAAACCCAAAGCACCAAGACGCACTCTAGACTCCTATACAGTCAAGCATATCAACAAAACCATTAAAGGTAATCTTTGATCTTTAATTTTTCCTTCGCTTTCTCTCTTCCCCAAATTTTCCGGACAAACAAACGCTCCTTAACTACCTTATTAACCAACTTCCTAATCCTTTCTCTTTCTCTCTTTCAGCTGGGGACTGCGTGTTGATGCGACCGTCCGATCCAGCCAAGCCATCCTACGTGGCCAGGATCGAGCGGATCGAGTCGGACGGTCGGGGTGCTAATGTCAGAGTACACGTTCGTTGGTATTACAGGCCGGAGGAGTCGATCGGTGGCCGCCGACAGTTTCACGGCTCTAAAGAAGTTTTTCTCTCTGATCATTACGATATACAGAGTGCGGACACGATTGAAGGCAAGTGTATGGTCCACAGTTTCAAGAGTTACACGAAGCTTGACGCCGTTGGAAACGAGGACTTCTTCTGTCGTTTTGAGTATAATTCTTCTACTGGTGCTTTCAATCCCGACAGAGTCGCCGTGTATGTCGCCATTTTCGTTTTGTTTCTTTTTTCTTTTTGTTGCGGCCTTGTTTGTCTAGATGAGATTTTGCTAATTTAGCAATATAATTATTGGTTAATTTGACTCATATGTATAATGTATTGGCGATATGTCTTACTTGATATGAGCTTAAGTTACTGAGGACTTATCAATTGAATTGACAAACTTGTGTTAGGAATATTAAGATTTTTTTTTTTTCTGAAAGAATTGAACTTATTGGTTTGGTTTAGGAATAGAATGTGAAGGCTTTGCATCTTGGTGGTTCTTGAAGTTTTATTATCAATTGCTTTACTCTTGCAGTTATTGCAAGTGTGAAATGCCATACAACCCAGATGACTTGATGGTTCAATGTGAAGGCTGTAGTGACTGGTAAGTGGCATGCTTTTCGAAATTTTTGTATAATTCAAGTTGAATGTTTCTTGCACATGTTGATTTAAGTATGTTTTACATTTAAAACTGTTACGAGAATGATTGAAAGTTCTAGGGCAAGGAATGACACGAAGTTGATGTCCTTGTTATTGATGTCAATATCTCTGATGTAATGCATAGTGCACATTCATCATAAACAAGTAGAATTTTTAGTAGTTACTTAACTAAATATGTCTAGACATAAATAGTGTCTTTATTGATTGTTTCATCACACTCCACGCATATTGAGAGATAAGTGTTCATTATGGGTAGATTGGGGCATTTGCTACTAGTCTTAGATGCGTAACTATTTAATCAGTCCCTTAGCAAATTTATAAACATGGTAGACTGAGGTCTTATTCATATCAATGTGGCAGGTAAAATATGGAATGCATTTGAAGTGGAATATGCAGACTCATTTTAACAAAATTGGGCTTGTAAAGTTTGAGAAAACTAATATGTTATGGTGTAGAAGGACTGTTGTGGTGGAAGATGGGAGAAAATTTGGGAAGCAAAAAATTAGGGAACTTTCTCCTATTGAGTGCAATCATGAAATTGATTTTATTTATTGATCATACTTTTTTTTCTTCTATTTCTTTCCAAATATTGGCAAATCTTTGTTTAGATAATTTAATTTTGTTTAAATGGTAATATTTGTGGTTATTCTCTATAAGTTTAGACACCTAATGGGTTTAACTATTTGTGGAATGACATTTTACCATTCTGTCACTGCATTTGGTTGGTAGAGATATTTTAAGTGAGGTTAACATTACATCCTAGAAGGAATGTTTAGTTAATTGAGATTAAAGCGGATACAAGAAATAGATTTTCATATTATCACTAGCTATTATCACCACTTGCACTACCATTTTCAAGTCATCACTGAGTTTATATCACTATGATTCGCTCTATTGTAATATGTTAATTGCATTATATAAAAATATAATAAAATACATTAAAATGTGATTAGCATCCTCTGAATTACCTTTGCTTTTTTGTTTTACTATCATATCAAATATAACCTTAGTAGTAATCCTATAGACTATATAACTATGAATATGATGGCAATGGTGCATATCGTTTATGACCTGCATATATCTAATATGGTAGTGGAGCATTAGATAGTTATATAATGAGAACCAAGGACAAAACCAATAAGATTCAAGTGGCAAAATGTGCTGTACTTTGAGGAATGGATCACATCCTGGTCTGATCAGATTAGTCCACCATCAATAACTACAATATAGTTACAGAAATATAAAGCAGTATGAGACTCATCATGTAGTCAATTTTTTGAAGTAAGGTGATAAGTTTTCAACATCGTAATTTTGAGAAGTATTGTTGGACTTCATTTGAAGAAACTTTTGCGATATATGGTTTATCTGTTGGTCATAACATTGTGGTTCATATGTTTTCGCATTATTGTTTTTGTTAAAGGACATATTTCATGCTTCAAATATTTGCAGTTCATGCAAAGCAAATGTATTATTCAGCATTCTACTTTTCATTCAGGTTTCATCCTGCTTGTATAGAAATGACCGCAGAAGAAGCTAAAAGACTTGATCACTTCTTCTGTGAGGGTTGTTCATCTGAAGGTCAAAAAAAGCTACAGAATTCCCATGCTACTTCCAGACAACCAGATACAAAGGTGTGAATAACTCCCATTTCCTGAACTTAATTTAAATAAATACAGTAACATTTATTTGTTATACAAGCAATAGCATGATTGAAGATGGCTACATACCTTAACTATCTTTCTGCTGTCTAAATTTAAAAAATGATTTAATTTAGATGACCTCATATATATGTTGTTGCCATTATATATATGCAATTGCTTGAGCTTCACGAGATATCAGCATGTGCCGCGCAAAGACACTTGGACACATTTTGAAGATTAGTGTATCTTGGTCTTTGGCAATGTTGTGTTTTATGATATTAATAAAGTATCCTGTAATAGAAATTTATGTAATTAGTTAGACATATGCAAATGGTCTCCAATTCTATCCCTCAGATAAGATGGTCTTAAAATTTATATGGCAAATTTATGTGGCAACAATAAAGAAATGTGATGTTTAAGGCAAAATAATTGAAAATGCAATATTAAGTATTTGTTGTTTACTTCACTTTGATTACTTTTTCCACTGTTAAAATTGCAAATTCATTTTAGTTCTAGTTTATTTGGAACTCTTGACTTCATAACTTCAACTTTTTGTAACACCATGTTAGGTTTCATATATTAAAGACTCAATATTAAGACTTGGCAGATATTCTTTTTGTTGGTGGGTGCCACCACTTTTTGGATGTGCTTTGTGAACTGATACATGACATGACTAAAGAAAAAGGTTACTGTTCAACAATACTTGATGTGATTCAATTGTAATTGGAAGAATCTTTTTGTATCATGTTTGACTGGTTAAGCTGGTGAAATATTTACTAATGACATGATATATACATGTATATATATCAATGAAAGTATTATGAAATGTTTAACATCAAATCCAAAATTACAGCAGCACATCAACAAAAGGAAAAAGTGGACCAATTGAAATGTCTAATGTTTTTGTTGCAATTTTAAAGGACTGTCCAATGTTTACCTTTCTTATTCTTATTATTGGAATCAACTAATAGCCAGGCATGTATGCTACAGTGCATATCCCTCCCTAAAAGCATGTCAGTGCTTCCTACTTCTTTTCTTTTTGGATGGATAGCTTATATAAAGCTGATAGTGGGAAGTTGCTTATGTCAATTTGTGTTAGCATACAGTTATCTTAAAGGAATTAGAACCTTCCAAATCTGATGGATAATTTGGTGCTTTGTCAAATTTGAGTAGAGCTGGCATAAGGAATAATTGCTAACACAGGAAGTATTGTTGATGTTTTCTTGTTGTGTGGTTCTTTCAGGTGGAAACAAAGAGGCGTCGAAGGTGATAAAGTAAATAAACAAACTATGTTGATATAGAATGATAATGCAGGAATTGGAGTATCAATCTTTTTAACTTGGTTAGGCTTCAAGCAAACACGGAGGCGAAATATTTGCACAACAAGCTGTAGTACTTATGTGTCAGATGGCAGAGGGAAACTCGTTTGTTATGTTTATATGGTTTGGGGTAAGTGACCTTGTTTTCCTTTGAAAGTCGAGGACGTGTTTGGCTGTTTATAGTTGTGTTATGTAGTTGTTTCATACTCTGCTTTCTTGTTTATATAACTTAGGGTTTGTGTATAATGGTAACCACTTCAGCTTATTCAAAGAAAATAGATACAAGAGTCTTCTTATGCCTCTTCTTGTGTTAATATAAAAGGGGGAAAAAAGAAGAAACAAATTAAAACAGTAACACAAACATCTGTTTTCTTCCATATTTGCCTGATGGTTCTGCGTCTTTTGTTTTCGATTAATGGAATCATTTCTTGCGATTTCTCCAAGCTTAGAAATGTGGTTCGTTTCTGTATTGTTGTATGACCTTATCAAGTGGAGCCGTCTCTGCCTACACATATATGCTCTGAAATCCATAACGTATTTTCAGTATGTAAGAGATCCAGGATCTCATGACGCTCCATTTCACAAGGTTGCCTTTTCTCCTTCCTTTCAGAGAAGTAGATTGATTACCAAAAGAATCCAAGTTTATTACTCAACTTTCAGAATTGATCCGAGTTAATATTAAAAATTAAAATTGACATGATGCACCTTACAGTCAATATAATGCTGGTTTTAAAAATTATAAATACTTTAAAAAGCAAAGAAATTCACAAAATATTGTTCTAATTTTGAAAATTAGAAATAACTCTTCCCCCCAGATTCACAAAAAAAAAAAAAAAAAAAAAAAAAAAAAATTAAAATATTAAAATTTAACCAATGATGCACCTTACTAGTCAATTATAATGGCTGGTTTTAAAAATCTATAAATACTTTTAAAAGCAAAGAAATTCACAAAAATATTGTCTAATTTTTTTGAAAATTAGGAAATATACTCTTCCCCCCAGATTCACAAAAAAAAAAAAAAAAAAAAAAAAAAAAAAAAAAAAACCTTTCCCTTTCTCTCTCGGTTCCTACTCCGCTTCCATCCTTGTTGACATTGTTCCCTTTGGCCTTGGTTATAATCATTTGCAAGACTTTCTAAAAATTGGTTAAATTGATTAAATAAAGGGCTATTATATTTTATTTGTGTATCTAATAAAATTGAGAAAGAAAATTCTGATTCATATTAACTACTATTATGCTCCCAAAAAAAGGGCAACAAAAAAAAAAAAAAAAACTCAAATAAACCTGAAACATGCCTCCTTAGTGAATTTACGTTATACTGTTTCAAATTTTTCAGTACTTCAACTCCGTAAATTATAGAACAACATATTTTTCATTATGCCCCACACGGTCTATTTTTATTTTTACAAATTTCGAACATTCTAACCACAAAAAAAAAAAAAAAAAAAAAAGTCAAATAACCTGAAACATGCCTCCTTATGAATTTACGTTATACTGTTCATAATTTTCATACTTCAACTCCGTAAATTATAGAAACAACATATTTTCATATGCCCCACACGGTCTAATTTTATTTTTACAAATTTCAACATTCTAACACCATAACCAAATCAAATCGAAGTATCATCCTAGCCATATATTTTTGACTCCAAAACTAATTAAAAGAATGGCGAGCTCGACAGTTTACCCAAATTGTTTTGAATATCCAAACTACATCAGAGATTGACAGCCTTACGTGTTCTATTTCTCTGCTTTACCAAACAAACACAACAAAATTTATCAAGAGAACATACATTTTACACAGGGTCTTTAGTTGTCAAAAAATCACCACTATATTTATAACTTCCAGAAAATGAATTGGTGAGTACAAAAATTAAATACAGAACTATCTCTGTTGCGCAAGAGACGAAATAAATCGTGAAATACCATGTGAGAACCAAAAAAGGGCAACATAAGAAGGGCTAAATTTCCTTTCTCGTTTCTGAAATGTAAGTGTATGAAATGTCACCATGTATGTTTATTTGAACTTGCCTTTGCTCTCTTCCATACAATAACAATGCCGTAAAGATCAGATGAAGCCAACAAGTTCTCTCCATGGTTCCAGGCAACGCCAATGACTGGAAATCGATGACCCTGCAGTGGCAAATGTTCCTTGTGATGAGACATGTTGATCAACGTAATCAACCAATAGAAACTAAAATGAAAAAATAAAATATCGACCTGTAGTTTGTTCACACACGTGTGCCTTGGCCGTGTTAGATCATAGAAATACACATTGGAATCCTCACTTCCAGCAACTGAATGTTTGGAAGGGAGAAGTTAGCAAGACAATCAATGCTGCTCAGGTAAATGGTAGATACCTAAAATAATTGCCAATGTTTTGATTTGAAAATTTGAGATAACCTATAAATTCCCCTTTTTCAAGGGAAAGCAAAGGGCAGAAAGAAGCTTGGGCGCCATGTAATCGTGGAGCCAATTTGAGCGAACAACGAAGTGTCAGATAACCTTGTATTTCCAAGGCCACGCTGCCATAGACCATAACAATATTCTCTTAGAGATCCAATACAGTGTCTAATATGGTGTTTTATAATATAATTCAGCACTTGAGATATTGTTTGTTCACCCACACGCGCACAACACATATATAAATATGTTAGTTAGAAGTCTCGATTATGTTAAAATTCACTTAAACTGACAGGTCAAAATTTTAATTCAATAGTTGTATTGAATATAATAAGTTAGCAAGCTTTTAAACAACTTTGCAATTTAAAGACTTTAGCAACTATATTATTCATCAACTCAAAAAGTCAAATCTTAAATTTTCAGCACTTAATTTTTTCAATTTTACCAAACAACATCCAAGAGAGCAAAGCATGTACCAATAAACCAACCTAAAAAAAGAAAGACTTCCATCTTGAGTACATGTCAGTAGCACCGGGCCTCCTGCCAGCAGAGAGAAACTTCTGTACTGCATAGTTGTCACCGGGGAGTTGCTCTTGCTACTACTTCGATGGCGGTGACTACGTGATAGGGCACCCGTGTGTGAGTCCATGCTTATGCAGTATACAGATCCCTGCATGTGTAGTTCAGTTAGCCAATTTCCAAATGGTAATATATAGATTTATCAGATAGTAACGACAGGTTATTGAATATTGAATATCAAACTCACTTGTCCATCCCCACAGAAGATTAGCTGACCAGTGTGATCATGGTCCATAGAGGTAATCTTAGCATTGAAGACTAATTTATGAATAATTCTGCCAGTGCTGAAATTGAATACCTGAAATACCAGAAAATTTCACCAATCAATGGCCTTAATTGAAGTGAAAAATTGTAAGGTCACTAGATATCAACCCTTGTATTCAAATGTGATGTACAGCCACGAATTCAAACTTTGAAATTCAGTTGAGAGTGAGAATGAGCCCTTTAACTTCAGTTCAGATTATCTAACAGTACAGAGGCATTTTTACATTTAACCAATAGATCAAACAATTTTAAGTGGATACTGAAAGCTTAGCATGGCAATATTTAGAGATGGGAAGCAAAGGTAAGAAGGAGAAATTACAGTGATTTCCTTGTTTTCGTTGCCAACTGAAAGGAAATTGTTATTTACCTGCACCAAAAGGAGAAATTGCAACAGTTAGCAGTCAACTACATCACAAAAAGAAGAAAACATACAAGGACACAGAAATTTTCACTGATATATTTTGAGACCCTCCATACAAACGCACACAGAGAGATTAAAACCTCACACGTAACAGAAAAAAGCTGAACAAAATTTTGTTCAGAATGGTACAATAACTTCAGGAAGTGACTCAAAATCCAAATCAAACACCAATTGCAATAAAAGGGAACAGAGAAAACACGTTGCAGATCTTAATTCAAAATTAGAGGCCAACATTTTGAACATATCACCACATCATTTCTAACATGAATTTCTAAAGACAATTGAACATAGAAAAAAACATTCAAATAGTTCAAAGTAAATGAAAATGTCAAACTTCATACTTACAGGATGAAAACGAATGCACAATTGTGAAGAGACTCCATATATTACTCGAATGCAAAGGCCCTGTGATAATTCCCACACTCTCACAGTTTTATCCATCGATGACGATGCAATATACTGATTGTTGGATGAGAAGTCAAAATCTGAAAGTGCAACTTTATCATTTAGAAACATGCAATGACAGCTATAAATACTTCAGATATTTAAAACGACAAATGCAAATTATAGTTATTCACACTTCCTTTTGAATGAATTCTATTATCATTCAACAACTTTTCTTGCTTCTTATCGAAAACAAGAAGCCCTCTTATCAGAATCCTAAACTTGATGAAGAGCTATAAAACTCAAACTTGATGACGATACGGAGAATATGGAAGCAGCTATGCAAGGCACAATTCCTAATAGGTAAAAGTTCATAAAACTACCTCACAAATTGTGATTTAGCAATTCCAACTCTCAAGAGGCAAATGAAATTTGTGCTATTTTGGTACCATAGGATTTTGTCTATTGTCGCTGTGATACCAATTATGTTACAATATCTCTGTAGGATAAAAGAACTCATTAAGATTGAAAATAAATTAGCATGTCCAATCACATCTTTCACTTTTGCAATATATAGGCAAGCAACATAAGTACTCTGTGTCTAGGATACAAGAAAAGACAACAGAAACAATACCAGTTAATCGAACCTGTGACATCTTTTGAATGCCCCTTCAATTGTTTGCGGACTGAAGGTGGCTCAGAGACAGAGCACACTGTCAAGGTTCCATCCGACGCCCCATAAGCAAGTAGATCAGAACTCATGTGCCCAAACTTTAAAACCGTAACTGCATAAAAGACCAATCAGGTTGTGTAACTTCAAAAATGCTTTTTTAATATAAGAAAATATAGTTTGCAAGGAAGTGAATACAACTTGGGGGATACAGTAACAAAGCATAGAAACATAAAATAGATAAACAATGAGAAAAATGTTGACAACCTTCTATCTTTACGACCATTCTACAATGCACTAACGGAAGTATACCTCAAACTTCCTCCATTTACTCACTCCACCAAAAGTTGTGAAAAACTCAAAAGGGAGAAAAAAAGTACCAGCAGATTTGCATTGATCAAAGATGCAATGCATTCCTATAAAAGAATATGCAGGTTCAACCCCTCGGCGACGTGTGCGATCATTTTCACTTGCAGTTGAGCTAAAACTTGTTCTGTGAGTTGAAGCCACATTGCCAGTTAGGTTCTGCAAATGAAGTTCACATTACATGGAAGAAGAATAAATCAAAGATGCAAAATTAATTTGTTTTGTCATGCAACAACTCGCCATTACAGTTTAAAGGCATCTATAACAAGTCCTTAAAGATAATAACTGCAAAACCAAAATGAGATAACTCTAAAAGTCAGCTGCATGCTTGCATATTATGGCTCATCCAAACGACAGAGGAGCTATGTAACCTGGCTGGGAATTGGTGATGAGACTATCTTTATGCTGTGAAATGTTGACAACCCACCATTCCCCCATATTATAAATCAACCAGCTGCCCTTATTGTTTTTTTTTCTTGATTATATTAAGAAAATAACAAATGTTTAGATATCGATTGCCTAACAAAATAGCATAACCTATTGACACACAAATCACTAGTAAAGGAGTTATACTTGATCATTTAAGCATCCACTATCTTTGCATTTAAAATAATAAAAAATGAAGAGTTGAAAATAAATAATAGCTTGTTAATGCATCAAATATCATTTGATATAAAAATTGTCAAAATTTGTTACAAAATTAAAATTTAGCCAGTATGACATCACAAACCAATCACTTCAAGTATTTTGTGAATAGAGTTTTGCATCATCAGATTTATTTGGCAACTAAGTGATGCATGATACCATGGTATGAATGCCAAAACTTAAAATTTGCTGCTTTAGTGTAGACTTGAACTTACAGTAGAAAAGAACTGCAATACAAAAAGACTTCTTTCACATATATGGACCATTCGCTTTTCTCCCTATGTCTAGAAAAAGCTTAAAGGATCATCACATAATTTTTTTTTCCTATCAAGGTAAATATGCCAATTCTCAGCATCCTTGTGGAATTCTAGGGGATCAGAGCAAAAAGCTAATGCATGTCAGTGGGTCAAAATGAATTGTTTAAATTACACCAGAGCAATATTAAATGCATTGACGTTAGACGGCTGGAGGAGACTACAATAATGGGGTAGATGCTTTCCTTGGTAAGTACAATATTCATTGAGGAGAATGAGGCCTTTACATTCCAACTCTAAGGTTACTGATTTTAGCAGCAATATGAAAAGCAAGTTCAGGTTAATAATCAATTAAAGGCTTTTTTAAAGGATCACTATAAACTAATCCGTACCCTGCTAGAACTCCAGCTCTCTGCCTCAAGCAAGTGAGACAGTTGACTTGGACTTTGAAGCCATCGCTCACTGATGCATCAACCAGTAAATTAACCTGATGTCAGAATTGTATAGACCATAACTTTAAAATAGCACTCGCAAATTAGAAAGCGCATTGTTAAAATAGTTAATAGTTGCTTCTCAATACAAAGCAAAAGATAACATTATTGGAATTCATACACAAAGCAAACCCAAGTAGCATGATTAACGAGTGCTCTATTATCACATATCAGTAACCTCTCCATATAAATTTTGTGTGCTTTTATGTAAGGGAAGTCAACCAGACATAACCCACTAGAAGACACCCACCGGACAGAATCTATGAGAAGACACCCCAGCTCATGAAGCAAGAGTAGGATTAACTGCTCAGAGTATTGGCCTATATCCCATGTTCCCCCAAAATCGGTCTCTACCAAGTACTGTTACCAATAATTAACATTGTTGAGATGAGAGGATTAAAAGATTTTTTAAACCAAAAGCAAAAGACCTGCCGAGATATGTTCACATATACTTGCATGTGAGGAAAAGAATCTTTGGGTTCAGGCATAAGCTATAGACATGAATAAAAGTTTCTTAAAGCAAGAAAGAGTGACTAACCTGCATTGCTATGTCACTAGTTATGCTAAGATGGAACTAATTGCAGATGTGACTGCCAAAGTTAGTTGCAACAGAGGAACACAGCCTTATTGGCAGGTTTTAACAACAAACTAAGGGCAGCCTGCTTATATTGCCTAATGGGGATAAAAACTCTTCCATTTTGGTTGATGGGCCTATTTTTTTTAGTTTAGGCAGTTATATGGTTCCCTATGTAGCTTCTAAAGCTATTCTACAAGTTAACAATGATGATTCTTTTGAATCCTGATAAAAATATTGCCAATGATGAAATGTCAAGCTTACATGGAAGGATAAAAATTCAATACATTATACCCACAACATCATTAAGTGATTCCACATTAAGTTTTTAAACATTTAACCACATATTAAAAACTGAAATCAAGATTATAAAACTTTTAAATGTCAATTGTACGCTATTAACCTAACAGATGCTATCAATCAAAAGGAACCTGCCACTGTGCTTTAGACTATATATGCTGGAAACTATGACATTCAATTCAACAAGGATAATTAAGAGCTCCTGTTCTCACAATTACTCAGCTTTTAAAGTACGAGAAATTCCCATTATGTGTTTTCAATCAACCTCCCCTCACTGCACCTATAAACTTCTAGGAAAAAAAAAAATAGCACAAGAAGATCAAATTCTTACTAAACAATGCGACTCTAATGAGCGAAGATGATAATCAAATCATGATAGTTTTACACATTAAGTAAAATATACCTATTCCCTGGAGTGCTTTGAAGGCTCATTTGCTGGCTTTCCCAATTTCTCGGCCTGCGAATGTAATTACGATAGCTGACATATCCTTTGCCATTGCATCTCCAATCCTTCAACATGAATCAATGTGGTAAGCTATAATTTAAATTTTCAAGAGGAAGCAAAAGAGCCAAAGTTAACAACATGAAGAAGAATGACAACGAACTAAAAAAAACGCCAACAATGGGGATCTACACATTTATGAGTGACGAAATATGCACACATATGCTACTAAGTTTTATTTTTAATAGGGGAAAAGGCATAAAGAACTTATTCTTTTAAATAAGATGAATATAGCATAAAAGAAAAAAAAAAATCAGCTATATTATGGTTGGTCCTCAGCTGCAAGAAGTCATGGCTACAGCCCTTATCACATCTTGTGCCTAAGTAAATTAAGAGCCTAAAAGTTAACCTAGAATTAGGCTTTACCACATACCCAAAAGTAAACCCCAGCTCTCATAAACATACTATTCTATTAGTCCATTTTCCATGAGGCTTTGGGTATTTGACATTACATGCCACTGAATCCCTTTCCTTTCCCTCTCTACTCTCTATCTATCTCACTCGTGCAATTTTAAACATTTGATTTCTCTGGATTTATCACAAAAGTCCTATGTGTTCAAGCAAGTTGAATCATCATTAGATATTGGCATATTTCATAAATACCTTGATCCGTACATCATGTTTTCACCAGAGAAGTGACAGGAAACTACTAACTTTAAATGACTTGATCAATGTCGTCAACTGTGAAATTGGTCATAATCATTCCACAAAAATATCAAATCTGTCCCAAAATTAAATTAAATTAACGAGCTTGACTTGGATCTAAAAATCTGAAAAAGCTATAACCCTTCCACCCTCCATTTTCAAAACCAATTGAAAATCCACTTATTGGAAATCCAACTACTAAGATCGGTCCAAGTCCTAATTTTTACTACTTCTCAACTCCCAAGGTTGAAATTTTAATGGAGAACCAATACATCTGCCATTCCATAATAGATAAATTATTGTACAGCAGCAATCCTATTCAATTTTTTACAGTTCGAGTGTTTCTTTTCCCCTAATCAATGAATATCATCAGTGCTAAATAACAATATGAATAAACAACACATCAAGTGGAATGATTGAAAATGAGATTTGCGGCGTGAACACCAAAATAGTGATGGAAATCGATTGTTTTTGCAGTGCCGTAACTATTATGATCACTAAAACACCTATAAAACATAAATATATTTGAAGAATCAATTCTAATTTGACTTTTCTTAAATCCGCATCATTAATGTAACAGTTAAAGTACTTCATTTCTCCTATATCACCAGATGAACAACACTGAGCCTTCTAATACTCCAATTATGCTTTGTCCCCTAGATCCACCAAAAACCAGTATCTAACATAAAAAGATATATCCACAAAAACCAGTATCTAACATAAGAAGATATAGTAAATTATATTATATATTATAATATATATATATAAGAAGTTAGAGGAAGGAGAAGAGAGAGGAAAGTTTACCAATATATATAAGAAGTTAGAGAAGGAGAGAGAGAGAAGTTACAATTCGGCGAACATAACCGGACTGGGCTTTGCGATAGAGAAGGAGACGGCGAATGCCAATATATTCAGGATCCGAATCGGCGGGGACAGGCTGAAGCAAGCAACTGAACAACTCTGGCTCCACATATTTCTTGTTGTTATGATATTCTCCAATTTGTGTGATTGAGGTGCTATAGTTACGGTTCTGCTCGACTGATGCGTCCTCCGCCATTCTATGAAGCCGCTTGCGGATTCTTCATCGGAGACGGTATGAAGTGAAATTTCAATAAAATAGGAGCTGGCCAACGATCCTTGATCCGTCGTTTTGACAAGAAAAAGGCACAGAAACTAGTTGAAAATGTAAGCTAGAGAGGGAAATCAGAGAAAGGCGCTTCTGGCTGCGTTACGTATTGACCTTTCAGCGTTCCCAGTTCCCGATGGCCGATGGAAACTAGGCTAATTACTTTTCCTTTTTCTTCTTGACTTCAATCGCTGTCAAAAAAACTAGAGCCACCGTCGGACACGTGTTTTACTTTTTCTTGGATTGCTATTCCGTCATCAGAGTAAATCTTATTTGCTTGTGTCCAAATCCAACTCACAGTGATTAAAATAATGGCAAATGATTATTTTCAAAAAATTAATGGCTAATAATTGTTTTAAATGGATTCGGATACTATTTAATATTTAGGGATTTAGCCTCTATTTAGCAAGGAGTGATTTTAAGGAAGGAAAGAAAACATAGATGGAATCATGGAAAATTGACGGGGAAAGTACTTTCCTCCGTTTGGGAAGGTCGAGGAAAATTGCAAAGGAAGTAAAATAACCATTAAAATCCTCCCGGGGCCCATATAATGACAATCTCTCCAAATAGGAGAGAAAATAACGGACTGTGAGGGAAAGAGGTACTGTTTAACGCACAATTACTAAATTACCCATATTTTTACCAAGGAACCTTTCTGTTGTCGTATTCATCATTGTCCTTCATTTTTTACCTTCAAGTACTTTTCTTGCAATCCATCATTAATTCCCAGACCACTTCCAAATTTTAAATTAAAATCACCACTTTTAGAATTTTATATTATTTTATATACTGTAAAATTGTATATATACTGTAAAAAAATTTTTGGATATATCAAAGTTCATAAATAAACGTAAAACATACATTCCAAAATTATTAATTTTTATAATTAATTAAGTAATTAATAATTATAAAATACTTAATACATATATAAGGGTAAACATATAAATTTGTAATAACACAATTTTCATTTCTCTATATTAATGTTTTAATTAATATATTATTTAATAATTAATAAGGATAAAATTATAAATTAGTTATAATACCATTTTCTTTCCTCTTCCTATTTTCCTTCCAATCCAAATATATGGTGAAAAACGAGGAGGAAAAATAAATTGTACAATCTTTCTCTATTTTTCTCTCATATTTTCATTCCTCTCATTCCCAAACATAGCGTTAGTTCCAAACCAATTGGTTTTATGTTAAAGGGATTTGTACAATTGAGTATTTTTATAAGTTTTTTTTTATAGTACATCCCGTTCATAATACTTATTACATTTAAGAAAATAATTTGATTCCAAAAAATAATAAATATTTTTTCATGTTTACCTTTTGTATATAACCAATCATCGTTACTTCAATTTAATGGTTTTCTTAGAGTTAATATTAAATTAAGGGTAATATAGTCAATTTGTTATAATTTAAACAAATTTAATGATTTTCTTGAGTAGCTTATTATGGAACAGAGATAGTATATGAAAAGTCCCTCTTAATGGAGGGATTGTGAGCTACATAGCAAGGAGTAGCCCAAATAACATTTTTACCAAATTTGTGATAAGTTTTGTAGGTAAATAGTATTCTAACTCAAGACCTCTCACTCTCGCATCTTCTACGAGAGATAAAAATATTAATCAGACCACATCGGATTGACAGTATTTATAGGTAGTTAGTCATCGGTTTAGGGTGAAATCGAATAATGAAGGTGAAGTTTTAATTGGATTTTAGACTAATTTAATTTATAAATTATAATTATCACATATTTTTTCTTTTTATGAGTAATTTAATTTCCTTTATTAATATGTCATGAAAAAACTTATTCAAACAACTAACTTAAGTCAATAGACTTTCAATACACTTAAATCTAGCCTAAAAAAGTTAAGTGAAAAAACCTAGAAAAAAATATAGAGAAACAAATCAAAAAGCACAAATCACAGTATTTCTCTTTGAGATATCCCACCCATTTCAATCCCATTTCTATTCCCATATTAGATGGTCGTCATAAAAGAAATTTATTTTGATATTTCTTTCAAATTATAGTAAAGTCCTTTTTTTTTTTTGTATTATTTTATTTACTATTATTTTATTTACTTAATTAATAAATATTATTTTTATATTGTTAAACTACTTTGTGCTTTGCCAATTTTGCTTTCCTCCGTCAAAACGTGTCAATGGCCTCCAATGAATTAATAAAGAACATTGAAAACTAAAATTGAATACCTTGATTCCTCTCTCACCCACTATAGTATATAACAAATCAATAAAAATACTTCAACACTCCGGCTTTTGTCATGTTTCATACATCACACTTGGATAAAATGTCACATTCATGGAATGTTAACCCTTTTTTATTATTTATCTATCATTAAATACTTTCATCTTCATATAATATCCATAAAGCTAGAGAAGCTTCTGCACACATTAAAGAAAAGAAAAAAAAAGTCAACAGTATTTTTTTTTTTCTGTAAGAACAGGCAAGAGGCTAACCAACAAAGGGTGAAGAAGAAGATTTTGAATTATGATCAACTCTGAAATTGCTAATTATTCCATAAACTTGACAAATTATGTAGTGTTTTCTTTATTATAATTGAGCACTAGTAGAATCATCTACTGGATGCCAGTGCCTGTTGTAGAACCACATTTTATCAGCTTCCACTGCATATCCATCCTGATTACGGTGCCAACTGTAGTATGCGTGGGTTCGGTTTTTAATGTCAAAAATGGCATGACCGAAACTGGCCTCTCGATAGGCCGAGTATTCTGGCTGTGGCTCTGTCATGCTGCATTACAAAAGAAGACATTGTACTAAAGTAAACTATGCTGATAAATAGAAAGAAATATCAAGAACAGTAGTACTGATCAGTACTCGACAATCTTACTTAGTTGCCAATCCTTCGAGATTTCCTCCATCGCCGATGGTAATGTATACTGGGGCAGATTGATCTTCTATTGGAGTGCATTTTCCATTTACAATGTTGTATGCAACATTAGATATGCGTTCCTGAGAGGACAATAAATTTGAAGGTTGAATAAACAAATGATGCCCAGAGAAGTACTTGCTTCAAATAGGATTCACAATCTCAAAAGTTCTTTCGGGTTTGAAACAATTCAGACTTACTTCGCGGCCTCTGTCACCTCCCTTCTTTCCCGCTGCTTGCACACTTTTCATACGCCGGAATCGACGCTCCCTGTAGTCATCGCATGTCTTAGGGAACTAGGCCTCTGCGTTGGCCTAGGCTTTGCAGGCGCGCCAGTCGCGCCCGCCCCTGTCAATGCGTTGACACCTCCGTCATGTTACCCAAGGTAATACAATACTTGAAGCGACCCCTTGCCACTCATACGGCACTTAAGATTGTGTTGTTACCTTGCTACTACCCCTGGAGCAGTCGAAACCTAACCCCTTATTTGTTTCTTTTTTCCGATCCCATAAAGGAAACCATCCATCAGCCCCGTAAAGGAGAAACGCTATTCCCCGAACTCCGAAACACTCATGGCATAAGTGCTACTGTCGTTGCCGGGCCCATTGCCCCCCTCAGTCCCCTTGATCACGACGGCGTTAAGCTTATGCCCTCCTCTGCTGCAATCTTTACCGCTAGCTTGCCCGCAGATCTCTTCCGTTTGACACGAGAGCCCAGACTGTCAGCCCGCTTCCGCCGGGCTTCCACACACACCGCTCTCCACTTCTTGCGCCGTCTTCCTCCGATGGTATTGATTCCCCCCGTCACTGCCCGCCCCGCTCTCTGATATACTGAGGGCTCACTGGCCCCTCCGCCACCTTCCCCAAGACTGTTTGTGACTCTTCCCTCCCTGTCCAGCGCTGTCCTCTGGCGGTACGTGTTTCTCGAGTCTCCGCCACCTTCCTCATACCCTATTCTCTACCTTACCCACTTCGAGCTTCTTCGATATTTTGTCCCAACTCGCCCCACCCACACCATTCCCGCTCTCTACGACCGTTCATCTGACCGTCCTGAGAGGACAAATAATTGAAGGTTGACATAAACAAATGATTTCGCAGCTGCCTCAGTCCACGACCCGTAGTTCACCCCAATCTTTCGCCACTTTCCCTTTTGCCTCTTGCCTTCTCTATGAGATCTGTGTACTTCTCTCCGCATCTCCTAATTGCGTGGCCACAAATGTTTACTTCCTGCCTTTCGTGGTTCTCCGTGGTTTGAAACGAAGCGTCATCATGGTAAAGAGCTCACTCGCTGTCTTTGCCCCAAGCACCCCTCTCGAGATTTGCCTGCATACCATGATTTTCCACAATGCAGGGCAAAGTTTTTTGTTGCATCCTTGATTTGGTCCTAGTACCTGCCCCCCACCTAATTGTGGCCCACTACGAAAATCGCTGTCTTGAATGCCACTGCGCACCCCGGCTCGTCTCCCAGGCCTGGCAGTCCACTCGTCCTCTTCTTCCCCTCCTCCTCTTCCCACGCCCACCGCCCTGCGCCCGCCACCCCCAACGCTCTCCCGCCGTTGACCCACCTCTGCCACTCACGGCCATTCGACCCCCCCACGTGCACCTCTTCATCGTTGACTGACTGCATTCTCGTATCCACTTACCCACGCTTCATCCCATAATGACACGTGCATAGAGTGTACCTACTAAGAATACCCATCCTTGTTGGCACGTGCCTCTCACCGCACATTTACACCATCTACTTGCTTGACGCATGCTCCACGCCTTATTCATTTGGCGGCCCTCCTGTCTGATTGACTTAGCAGTAACTTGTCCTCATGTTTAATACCAATCATCGAGCATTAGCACCCCGCCCAAATTCCAACTTATCTCCAAGTGCCCCGGCCCACGTTATGCTTACACCCTTGCAGACCGGTAACATTCCACCACTTTCTTTTTGCTGCAGTGATACTCCACACATCGCCGCCAGCTCCCAACAATCAGATCTGATTACAATATAAGGTGTAGCACAGCAATGTTATCGTTCACGACAGTCCCTTACACTCAACGGTTGTCTCTCTGTACCACCATCTCCACTTGTATCTGTTCATCGGTGGTTCTCCCTTCCACACCCCAGGACGCACAGGGTCAGACTTCCACACCGACCTGCACAGTGTGCTATGCTCGCCATTGACGCCCCTACTTCGCACTCATTCTTGTTTACTCATCACCAAACAGAACCAACAGTACAACTTTCGATACACTTCGTCTTGAAGTATATGCATAGGTAAGCCCGAGTAGATCCTAGCGGTCTTCTTCACATACCTATTCTATCTCTAGCGCTTTCTTCACAATTAGTTCTTCCCAGTGGTACGGGTTCCTCCCCCTTCCCCATATCCTTCTTTGTCACGCATCCCTGTGTATCTGGAGCATTCGTTTGTAGTCTCCTGTCTGTTGGCTCTAATGACCCAACTGGCAGATCACAACCATTGGTCAAATAATATCACAGTATCACCGCGTTTAACCACGCCATGCCAGTGTGGCCGAGTCTCTTGTCCAGCACGTGTACCTATACTCATTTTTTTGACTGCCACAGTCTTTCTGTTGCACTCCCAAGCGCATCAGTAGACTATTTGGGAGGGAGTGCCTCCCATGGTGCATCACCGTTTAGAACCCTATCCAGCCCGCTATTCAATTGAATCTCGTGTTGTTTTCACCTTGCCAAGCCTCCAATCTTCGAGGCTGCTGTTACAAAAAAGCCACATGCTTTCTCCTTTTCTCTCTCCCTTCCGTCTACAAACTATGTACCGCCCCATCCTCCAGCCTATCATTTTCTCTACAATTTCGCAACCAACTACGACGCAATTAGACTGCAAAGGGGCTCACATAAATCTGCTGCTATAGGGGGAGGCTGGTCTGCACCATCAGTATCTTATCATCTTCCTTATGTGCTTTTCAGCGTTATCGGTATGTGAAAGCCAATGTTTAACATTGTTACAATCCTAGTTTCCAATCCGATATGGCCCACTACGTACCACTTATCTGAAGAGTTACCAAACGGTACAACTATAACTCACTCAGATCTAGTCCCATTCTCACGTTGCACTCGCCTCTCATTTGCATTTCGATCTTTTCCCTTACCCCTAAAGGCGGACGCACTTACTTGGTTCCTTGTACAGCATCAGTCAATTTATCAGTGGGCAACTTATCGCCCATTTTACCTGCCGGCGAGGTCAATATAAGGCTTAAAATGCGCTCAGCAGCTTTTTCTACCACCTGCAAACATACAGCTATCATTCCTTCAGTGTGTTAGTGTTGAGATCTATACGGCTTCTTGACATAAGACAACTTCCTGTACATGAACTCTTACTTGGGAAGGACTGATCGTGCCTCACTCAATTACCTCTTGCACGATTTACCCTGCTTTCTCTACTTTAGCACATATTATACGCAGTAGATTCGACGGCACATGTCGACATATTTTGGTGACGCCCTGTTCGCTCGCCCTCGCCTGCCTACTATCATCTCACACCATACACGTTATCCAGCTTAATGTCTTAGTCTATTCGTGCCCTTCGTCTTTTGGGCTTCCTCTCCCTGGAGTTGATGTCCGTGGTTTTCTGGCAGATTGGTGGAGCTCAGAGAGGTACCTTTTGAAAGGCTTTACGCGCACTGTATCTCTCAGTAAATTAGTTATATCCATTGGACTTTTCTTCACGCACTTTGACTTACCCATATGTTCACTTAAATTTATACCTATAACCCCATTATTCTTTGTCAAACATCATGGGTCGCTTAGCCACGGCAATTTTCTACGTACGGCGTGAACAGATTGCAACCCCTTTAACTTCAGTTTGTTATTCCTGCATGCCACACATTTATTTTACATGCCCCGTTTGCCCTCGAATTTGAATGTCTAGGGCGTTACCCTCCTTCCCTCCTGCATCAGTATAATATTGCCTTTGCCGCCTTATGTCCACCTAGTCTCTACCGTTCTTCCCCCCACCACCCCATTTACCCTTGCCTGTTCCTTCTAACTATCGATGCCTTTGCAGGTTCGGCCTTTCGCCACTCTGCCTCGGGTTCCATAAGAGAGGCCTTCTAAGGTACAAAATACACTGTCTGCCCCTTTTTGTGGTTTCGCCTTTCACTAGTTGGGAGAGTTTCATCCAGTTGTTCTGCTTTGAATTCCAACAACTCTCGCCACCCAAGATCCTCTCCCCCTCTGCCAAAAAATTTCAGATGGCACCTTGGCTATATGGATCATCGATTTCTAGCGGCTCCCACGTGTGCGCACTCCTTTTTTTCGTATGTATTCAATTTTATATTTTTTAATGAGCCCCGTTCATATGCACATCCCTATATTTCTTAACTCTTACAACTGATCGTTATCAAGACACTTAGTCATTATCATATGGATCTCTTTTTGATATACATTTTTTCTTCTGCTGACAGATCCCGAGTATACTTTCTAAACTCATAGAGTCCTATATCCTATCCACGATTTAATTACCCATTCAAATTCGCTTTCCACGCAAACTCTTATGCGGCTACACATCTCGACTCTCTTTTACTGCTTTACAAACCCTGTCTGCACCTATACCCACATGCTTATAGACTAATATAAAGGATTCTTGAAAATTCCTTGCCAAAGAGACTCTAAACCAGAGTTTATCATTCAGTCTCAATTTCAGCAACTACATACCTATGAGACCAAATGTATAGGGCACATCAGGACCAACTGCAGGAGGAGTTGTAAACCAGAATTGCCGTGTAGTATCATGAAGCCCAACCAAATAGTAATATTTGGTGTTATACTGCCAAAAGAAATATTGGATATTAATAAAAATCATAATCTATGATGCATGGACTTAGCTATGAACAGAGTGAAATGGAACAAAGAATTCATTAGACTCCAACTAGTGTGGGATTAAAGCTTAATTATTGTTGTTGTTTTAACAAAAATCATAATCTATTTCAAATTCAATTCGACAAAGAAAATTATTTCAATTAAAAATTAAAATTCCAATTTTGAAAAAATAGGACAATGAACAGATTAATTATTGGTATCAAAACAATCCAAAATTCTACCTCCAAGTTTCTGA